TGCAGCTTGCTCCACTCCATCTGCACCTCTTGTGCTGCCCGCTCCGCCGCGTCCTTGGAGCTCCTCTCCTTATCTTTCTGCAGCGCTTCCCTCTCCCGCTTCAGCTCCTCCCGCTCCCTCCTCACTTCCTCCCTCTCTCTCCCCACCGCCTCCCTCTCTTGCGCCAACACCGCGCGCGCCCGCTCGAGCGACGCGCGGCTTCGTTCCGTCGACGTGCGCTCCTCCTCCTGCTTCGCCGCCGTCTCGTTATCAGCTTGGGACCACGCAATCAACACCTCTTCCAGCTCCTTCGCCACGTGGTCTCGTTCCGCTTCGGCCACCTGGGCGGCTGCCGTGGCTTCCGCCGCGGTGCGCTCCGCGGAACGCAACGACTCTGCAAAGAGAAGAGAAGGCAGGGCAAAGGCGGAATGACTTCACAATCTCGAGCTCTTAAAACGGAAAATGCAGCATCACGGCGACTTACCAGTGAGCCATTTATTAATCTTGGCGCAGCGCTCGAGTTGTTTCCTCAGCTCGTTCATCTCGCGGCCCAGGCGCCGCATGGACACCGACGCGTCCGACGAATCCTCCTCCACGTCCGTCCCGTCGCGGCCCGTCGTCGCTGGTCCAGCGTCAGTGTCGTCCTCGCCGTTCAAGCGGCTTTTGCGGGGGCGGGTGCGTTCCAACGGCTCCGACGCCCCGACGCGCGACAGGTAGCGGGCTCGGGACGACGCGTTCCGGTGACTCCCATTGGGGGAGGACGCGGAGGTAGCGGGGGAAACGGGGGAGAAGGGGGTTGTCGTATCTGGACCCACGTGCGCGCTAATGCTGCGGAACATTGCCTTGGAGCCGCCGTTACGGCTCTGCGGTTCCTCGCGACCTGGTTCTCCGTGAAGAGAAAACTCCCTCGAGATCTCGCCGGCTTTGAGTTCGCGGCTGTATGTGCCTGGGGCATTCACGCTACACCTTCCACTGCTTCCCCGCGGAACACCCATTTCCGGCGTGCGGACCCTCGTCGTCGCCGCATCCACCGCTCCGCCGCTGTCGCCCACAAGGAGTCGCATCGCAAGGCGCCTTGGGACGTCTCGAGGAGACCCGAATCCGTAACTCGAATCCGCGTCGCTAGGAATTTCAAGGGAACGGCGGCCAACTCTCATGGCGGAAGGAGTGCTAGAGGATGAGGACATGGGGGAGAGGGTGCTCCGCGGGGAGTGGCGAGGGGGAAGCGAGGAAAAAGAAGGGTCGTTCTCGGCCAGGGTTTCGACGAAGCGCGAGAGCGAGTCGGCGAGGAACGAGTCCGTGGACGGCGACTTCTGATGCGACCTGGACCGTCTTGAGAGAGCGGGACGCCGGTCAGTGGTGGCCATGTTAGTTACCCAGCTGACTACTGCTTCCAAGGAAATGGACTTTCAAGTTGCAGGAGAGTGTCTAGTGGATTCAGCACGTGCGCATCTGTGAGCATCAGCAGACTGGTTGCGTTCCAGAGCTTTGTGAAGGGGAACAGCAATAAGCATTTGGGTGTGACTAGGGGAATGCTGCTGTACGATGCTCAGACCTGTGTGCATGAGGAGCCTTCGTTCATAATATCCTTGGTTGTGTGATTCGGGTTCCTCCTGAGGGAGCAAAAACAGGGACTGTGGCTCGCTGGTTCATTCCACAGGGCGGGGGGGTTTGTGGAAGAGAAGTGTGAAGATCAAAAGCCGAATTTCCCATCCAAGCAGCTGCGGCGAGAGCCACAGAAGCATTTGGGGTGCGACCGCGATTCGAGGAGCATCCGATATGCATGCAGCTGCCTCGTCCTACAGTACGTACAGGGTTGCTTGCCATGCATGTGACGACTCGTCTGCTGCACTGTGCTACTGCTGTTCCGTGCAGGCACGCCTCACACATCTGCGCTTTCGATCACTCCGCCTTCCGCTCCCAATTTCCTCCCTCCCTCTCCCCGTCGCGATCAGGCCCCCTCTCCCTCCCCAAACCACTCCCCCTCCCCCCTCTCCTCCCGGCTTTGCCATCCTCCGTTACCCTGTCATGTCGGGAAGTCGCAGAAACAACACGTATGACAACTGACATCAGTCCAGCGACTGTAACCGACGACATTCACGCTGTTCTACGTACAACACCCTGGTTTTCCCACCGGCGCCTTCTTTGTCTTTCAACCACGCGAAGATCACCCCATCATGGTCCATTGGTACAGTAAGGACGCGTCCCCTGAGGCGGATCGATCGGCTGGAAGATCGGTTTTGCGCGTGGGGTGTAGAGCTGTAGCGTCGTAATCAACAAGGTAACTGATCTCGCCAATGTTTACGAATGTACAGTAAACAAAGTTCCACGATCCTGTCATTACGGGAGCCCCAATCGATGTAGCGAAGTGCAGATATCGAACGTGAGATTGCTTGGCGCGGTGTGGAATTTCGCGCCACGAGTGACAGTCAAAATCGATCTCCTTCGCTCGTCGTCGCTTTGTTACTGCACGACGTCGCATAGAGTGGGTTTCCCTGTGCGATTTTTACTCGCGACAACCTAGCTGTTGTCGCAGGTTACGTGTACCTCAACCCCGAAACCTGCCTTACCGAACCTGTCACCTGTGTATCGGTGCGCCGTAGTTGCGCAGTCCTGGGCACCGATCTCTACCGAGCCTGGGCACGAAATGACGATCGGTGCGGATCGGCCAAACTTCGGCCGATCCGCTTCAGGGGACGCGTCCTAAGAAAGGACCGAACTGCTTCGTAAAACTACAGAAATGAAACGAAATACCCGTAAAAGCACCCCGCAGAACAACACTGTTCGATCTATCTAACACTGTGCACAGCTCCTGAACTTACGTCGAACTCAGGCCTCTCCAGTTTTAGGCAACCAAGCGGTGGCTTGGGCCAATGTCGAAGATGTGTTTTTGTTTTCCAGTTTTTACAAACCCGAACGAATGCGGTTCAATCGAGGGACGACCCATCCCCAACAATCTAGCTCGGGGACTACCCTCATTTTTATATAAATATGGGGGAAACATCCTGCCAGCCAAGGGCTCGATCGATCACCGATCCAACAATATCCATTCCGTAGCGAGACACGCCATGTCAGCTCTTCTGTCGTTTGTGTAATTGTCGGAAAATCGTCGGTCTGTTTGGCGTGGTGCAAACACGGGGTGACGACACAATGCCATTTCTGTGGTGTGAATGGAGCCGCCACCAGCTTCTAGATTTTCCAACTCCAGGCTGTCACGTAGGATGCGGCAGTTGTCGGATGAAGTGTATTTATCGGGCAGGTTCAAGCTTCCCCAGGGGTCAGGCAAGGGAAATGTATCTGTTCAAATCAACTGAAGCCATAAAAGAATAACAAGGACTCAACCACAGAAGAGAACACTGATTACGCAAGTCTCGAAACCAGTAAGAACACCGCTATCCAGAGCATAATTCTATATCAAATAAAACAATAGTTCTTACTGCATTTTTTCATCTGTTGATGGCCCTGTTCGGCTGCACAAAAAAGCGGTCACAACCAAACAATAACCAACCACAAACAGAACAAACCAAACAGTAATTGAGGCTCGGCACTCCTGCTGACTCATGGTGACGTGGAAAACTCCACAACTATTGGTCGTATTTCCGAACGTCTTTCCCAACCAGAATCGTATTTGTTTTAGGTTTGTTGTTGGTTCCATGACAATCCAACAGTGCCAACCAACAAGAAGTGCACAGTAATTCAGGGGCAAAATGATGTGCATTGCTGGTTGGTTTTTGGTTGGGTGCTGATCCTGCTTTCAACGTGGGTGAGAATGGTTGTAAGTTCATTGTGAGCTTTATGCAGACTGCTGATTGGCTAAATCACAAATTGTGCGCTTCATGCTTTCATTGTGCGCTTTCCAGGAATTTCTTTCCCAGGTTCCTCGAAGCAAGGTACAGGTAGTTGTGTTGGTTGGGTTTAGAATTGTGCTGTCATGGTTGTTGACTTTTGCGGGCAACATGCGAGACCAGCCCACGTTTGCGTGTCTGGTTGCACAGCTGGAAGGGTATAACAGTAAACCACGTTGGTTTTGTTTTGTAGTTAACCTAGCTTCGGTCCGAGGCTGTCTTGTCGTTCCGGTTTGTTGAGTTGTTGGTCAGATGCGCTTGGCAGCCAAAGTGCTGCCGAACAGGGCCGATGTGATGACACGAGTTCGTTGGGAGAACCTTCTTGTCGTACAGACATCATACTTGGTCTGTGTGAATCATTCCATCACCAAGACATATTGGAAGCAAAACAGCAAGATGTACATTACCCGGGGCAAAAAAACTAGCCCCTCTCCAATGGCATGCCCATCGGGAAGCATTGACCCTAAGCACCAACACTCTTTGTGAAGTTATTTCCCTCCCAAATTTCAGGTTCCAGACGTTTGGAAGCAACAATCGCAAGAACCGCGAGACTAAGGAATTGAACGCGAAAATACACATGTGGAAAATGCACTTCCGCGGGCCTCAAATTGTCAAGAGACAAAGATTGAGAGCCGCCCGATGTATACCTAACTAATTATCAGCACGTGTCGTAGTAGCTTCTCATTGCCTGAATTTCTCGTTTCGTTACTGTACATACAATGCCACCAATGCATTGGCTGTACATTTTGCTGGCATTTGCTCGTATCGAGCACTGTTCTCACGGATAGCCCCTCGGCGGTTAGATCGCGACACGCAGAATTTACGTTGGGCTCGACGACGTCCTTGTCGAAATGGGTCCCTACGAACCATTTCCAGGCTGTACGTGTAGTACACCAGCTGGAGTTCCCATCAATTGTACTTTGACCAGCGGTACAGAACATATTACGGGGTTCGTGTCAGACCCGTAAGTTTGAGTCTGGGCTGGGGTGGTCAGGTCAATCCGTACGCGAAACACTCATAAAAGCAGGCTGGACAGTATCTATAATGCGTATAGAAAGTGCCAAGAACACCACTTCAAATTGTTTTTCTCTATCCAACCCAAGTCATTAACCAAACTCGCATCACCCCTGATTTGATTTATCAATATAATACGTAATGTTGATTTATACCTACGTCCTACCTGTAACCTGTCCGACTAGTTCCACCAAACCTGCCGAACAAAGCAGGCGACCCTACTGCCCTGTTCCTTGGAGCATCAGGGCCCAACCCAGCTCCTTTCTGCTGCCGCCACGGCACTGCACTCCCCCACATGCCCGCGGAGCTGCCAGGCACGCTGCTGGCATCACCATCATACCTTCCAGCAACCGCAGGGGGTTGGAACGAGGGGGCTAGTGACGACGGAGGTCCCAAGGAAGAAGGGGAAGGGACGAGAGGAGGCGAAGATACCTCGCGTTGCCCAGGATCTTCATGTGAGAAGCCTCTCCCTGTTGTTGCTGTGGCAGTGGCAGCAGTATAGGCAGAGTAGGCATAAGATCCAGACGAAGACAGGGGTAGGGGCGCGCCGCCCGGAGCCGTGACCCTGGTCTTCACAAACAGCCGCTTGGTCCACCCCAGCCGCTTCTCCTCGTCCTCCTCCTCAAGCTCCCTCTCACCCACCTCGCCCCTCTCAGCATCTGCACTGCCTTCCAGTGATGGCTCCCTGCATGCAGGGAGCAGGCCCGTGCATGGCGGCATGGGGCAGCACGCCTCCATCTCCCCTCCCCCCTCCGCCCCGTCGCCCTGTTTCTCAGGCCACGGCTGCAGCGGAGAGATCTCAAGCGCGGCTGATTCCGAATCCACTGCTGGGAAGAACTTCGCACTCACCACCTCTCTCTGCTCCTCTGCTGCCGCCGCTGCTGCTGCAGGCGCTGCCTGGTTCTCAGCAACGGAGGTTTGGGCTGCAGACCGGGGCACCTGAGGCTTGGTACGGGACGCTTGAGGTTCGGTGTAAGGAAGTTGAGGTTCGGCACGAGGCTCGGATGGATCTGAGGCAGTGACGTCAGCTGCAAGCTGCTGCTGTATCTGCTCTTGCTGCTGCTGTAGTTGCTGCTTCTGTGCAGACGCCACTCGCTCACTCCACGTCAATCCTCCCAGAGATGCGGAAGGAGGTGTGGCTGATGCTCGTACAGGCGGCATCGCCACCGCCTCATACAATGCAACCTCGCCACTCCCGCCCGCCTCCACACTCACGACTTCTCTCCTACCGCCCGTGCGCTCTCCCCCAACCCCCACTCCTGCTGTCCCTCCAGGCCCCTCTCCCCTCCCCTTGGAAACCCCCCCCCTTCCCCCCTCCCCTCCTCGCCTCTCAAATACAGCCTCCACCAGTCGCACCCCAAACTGCTCCTCCAACCTCTCCTGCATCCGAGCCAACACCTCCTCTGGCGCCTCCTCCTCCTCTTCCTCCTCTGCCTCCCCCTCCTCCCACAACCCATCCTCATCATCCCCCTCCTCATCCCTCGCACACGCCTCACTCTCCTCCTCTTCCTCGCCCTCCACTCCCTCTGCACTCCACCTCCTCCCCATCTCCTCCTCCACTCGCCTCTCCGCTCCCATCTCCCTGCTCCCTGATCGCTTTTCCACGCCCCCTCCTCGCCCCCCCGCACCCCACTTGGCAGCAGCCATTGCCGCTGCAGAAACAACCCTCCCTGTGCCCCCCTCCCTCTCTCCACCCCTCTCCCCTCCCCTCTCCGCACTCCTCCTCCCGCCCTGCCCTTCCTCCTGATTCGCCCGCTCAAAGAACCGCAGCGCATCCTCGTAATCATCCTCTCCCACCTCCTCCCCTTCGTCCCCAAGCAACCCTCTCCCCGGCGACTCCCCTCCTCCCTCCCCTCCTGCCCCCTTATTCCCCTTCACAAATGGCAGCCATCCCCATTTGGCCCTCAAAGCCCGAATCTCCTCAGCCCTCTCTCTTCTCGCTGTCGCCCACTCCTCCATCTTCTCCCTCTCCTGCCACCCACTACTCGCCTTCTCCCAGTCCCACACGTCCTTCCACACCACCTCCCTCCTGCCTTTCCTCCTCACGCCCTCCCTCCGCCGCACCTCACTCAACCCCACCTTCTGAGCCCTCCGGCTCCGCTTCTGAAACTCCCTCCCGGCTGCCCGCCCGCTGTACCTGTCCCGGGCAGGGTCGAGGATCTTTTTCACGGGCAGCCCTTCGTGGGCGAGAGTCATGAAGCGGCTCCAGAGCGGTGCTGCGTGGCTGGAACCGGTTCCGGGGTGCAGCCCTCCCACTGGCAAGTTGTCGTCGTAGCCCAGCCATACCTGGCACGGAGGTGAGGGCAGGAGGAGTGGGGATGGGTGGAGGGTGGTGAGGCAGTGGCAGGGTGGTGCAGGGCAGGAGTGAGCGGGAGGTGAGCCAGTGCCGGGATGAAGGCAACTCACCGGCTTGTTGTCGTCGTAGCCCAGCCACACCTGGGGGGAGGAGAGGGCAGCAAGGGTGGGCATGAGTGCACGGGGGTGAGACCGCAGGGGGTTGCAAGCCAGCGAATTGAGGCGAGGCGGTCTTTTCCGAGGTGCAGCCCCCCCAACCGGCCGTTCTTGTCTTACCCCAGCCACAAATGGCAGGGAGGAGAGGGCAGCAAACAAGGATGAAGGCATGGAGACACGAGACACATAACCAGGAAATGAGGCGGTGCTGGAGTGCAGGTCACCCACTGGCGCAGGCTAGCTGCAGGGTGAACCCAGCGAACCAGCAGTCATGACGGCCGTCAGCAGAATTGGGTCCTGAGATCACTCTGAGCACTTAGTGATGCAACGCGAACGCTCTACCCCTCTTGTTCAATTGCTTTAGCCTAGCTTCGCTACTGCAATGTTCAAAAATCGGACAAGGACCTCCCCACTCACCACACACGCTAGCTGCGGGGTGAATCCAGCGAACCAGCAGTCGCGGTGCCCATCACTCGTGCCGGTCTTGCCGGCACACGGGCGGTCCATGCGGGCGCCCTTGCCAGTGCCGCGCTCCACCACGGCTTGCAGCAGCTTCCTCAACTCGCCCACTGCCGCCTCATCAACTACTGGATCCTTGCGCTCCATGCACACCTGACAGGGGGAGAGTGTAAGAGAGGGCAAGAGATGAATGCACGCCTGAAAGCGCGGTCCATGCGCGCGCCCTTGCCGGTGCCGCGCTCCACCACGGCCTGCAGCAGCTTCCTCAACTCGCCCACTGCTGCCTCATCAACTACTGGATCCTTGCGCTCCATGCATACCTGACAGGGGGAGCTGGAAAGAGAGGGCAAGAGAGGGATGAAAGCCTGAAACGCCAGTCCGTTCGAGCCCCCCTGCCAGTTCCCTCTCCACCACAGCCTGCAGCAGCTTCCTCAACTCGCCCACCGCCGCCTCGTCCACCACCGGGTCCCTGCGCTCCATGCACACCTGACAGATACAGGGGGGGGAGAAAGGGCATGAGAGGGGTGCACGCGTTGAGATAGAGGGCCTTTTGAGGCGCCTGAGAGGCGGTCCATGCGGGGGCCCTCTCCACCACGGCTTGCAGCATCTTCCTCAGCTCGCCCACCGCTGCTTCATCCACCACCGGGTCCCTGCGCTCCATGCACACCTAGTGGGAGGGAAGGCGGGAGAGGGCAACAGAGAGCAAGAGGAATGCACACCTTGAGATCGAGAGAATTGCGAGCCAAAAGGTTTCCACGGCTTTAGACTGAGAGCGTTTTGAGGCGCCTGAAAGGGCGGTCCATGCGCGCCCCCCTGCCAGTGCCTCACTCCACCACTGGGTCCCTGCGCTCCATGCACACCGGGTGGCGAGAGGAAAGGCAGGAGTGGCCATGACAGCTTGCAAGATATTTCTAAGGGTATTATCCACGATGGATGAGAGACAGCGCACCTTGACCCCTTCCTTTCTTACCCTCCCTGCTTCACCCTCACCCTGACCCTGAAAGCCTCTTTCAGCACGCTTCCGTTGTACGACTCGATACGAGTAATCAGGTGCGCGCGGTGGTAAATCCCTCCTCACCCTTATTCAACCCCTCTCCCACCCGCCAGCTCACCCTCACCTTGTTTTCTTCCAGCACACGCCCGTTGTACGACTCGACACGTGTGATGAGGTGCGGGCGCTGGTAGACCCCCCTTGCGGCATCGTGCAGTACACGGTGGTGAGCTGCAGGGGCGTCACCTCTTGACTCCACCAGTCCAGATAACCAGCAAGGATAGGCCCCTCACCTTGGCTTCTTCCAGCACCCTCCCGTTGTACGACTCCACGCGGGTAATCAGATGTGGGCGGTGGTAAATGCCTGCAGCAGCGATCGTGCAGTAGACAGTGGTGACCTGCAGGGGCGTCACCTCTTGCAGCTCACCTTCGCCTCTTACATTCCACCAGATAACCACCAATGACAGGCAGCTGCCTCTCACCTTGGCTTCTTCCAGCACCCTTCCATTGTACGACTCCACACGAGTAATAAGGTGCGGGCGGTGGTAGATGCCCCCTGCAGCGATCGTGCAGTACACCGTGGTGAGCTGCAGGGGCGTCACCTCGCAGCCCCCCAGCGAGAGCGCCAGCTCGTGCGGTAGCGGCGTCTTGATGCCCAGTGCGCGCCCCATGTGACACACCTGGGAGAATGAGGAGGGGATAGATAGGAGGGGAGGGAGGGGGGGGGTGTTGCCAGAGGGCAGCAGTGAGCTGCAGCGGCGTCACCTCGCAGCCCCCCAGTGAGAGTGCCAGCTCGTGGGGCAGAGGGGTGTTGATGCCCAGCGCGCCCCCCTTGTGACACACCTGGGGGGGGAACACAATGGAGAGGCAGAGAGGGAGGCAGAAGGGGAGGCGGATGGGGGGAGGGAGAAGGCGAAAGAATATCAGCATATACCTTTACCTCCTCACCTTGTCAACACCGATGACAGCACACAGTTTACAAGCGAGCAGTGGCACATGAACTCCTTACACCCACTGTGTAGCCACCTCACGCACAGCAACGCAGCCCCCCCACCGTATCCCAACACCAACTCACCTTGTCAACACCGATCTCAGCGCAGAGCTTGACAGTGGGCACGTTGAGCGACTTGAGCAGCGACTCCTCCAGCGTGACGGGTCCCCTAAACTTGCGGTCGTAGTTCTCCGGGGCAAACCCGCCCACCTCGTACGGCTCGTCCACCAGCACAGCACGTAGTCCTTGTTACTCGGGTCGTCCCTCACCCCCTACCACTCCCCCAAAAGCCCATACCCTGAACCCCTGAACCCCGCAAACCCCAAAGCCCAACCCTCACTCACATGCCCTCGGCCAGAGCAGTGAGGTAGACGACGGGCTTGAAGGTGGAGCCGGGGGGCCAACTTCGATCACACCCAGCACACCCCAAGACCACAAATTCCAAGACCATCACTCAGCTCCACACATTGCCCAAAACCCCTAATCCCCAAAGTCCTTACATGCCCTCGGCCAGAGCAGTGAGGTAGACGACGGGCTTGAAGGTGGAGCCGGGGGGCCGCAGCGCCTGGGTGGCGCGGTTGAAGCAGCTCTCGTAGTAGTCCCGCCCGCCCACCAGCACTCGCACCTCTCCTGACAGCGGGTCCATTGCTACCATGGCCCCTTCTAACCTGCACAGGGCGGGGGGCGGGACACACAATGGGACGGACAGAGAGGCGAGAGAGGCTTCAAGGGATGGACAGCTCTCGTAGTAGGTCCGCCCGCCCACCTGCACCCTCACTGCGCCTGACATAGGATCCATGGCTCCCTCCAGCCTGCAAACCATGCAGCGATGCACCAATGGGATCACAAAAGAAAGGTAACTCAGGCTAACGGGCGCATGCAAGCTTGTTGAACAAACGGGGCACGGAGAAACCAAGCATTGATGCTAGCGAGCTTGCCTTACTCGAGTGCACACATGGGTGGCGTTTTCCCGCATGACCAGAATCAGAGCATACAATCAAGACCTCATGCTCCTACACCCCTTCCCTCCCTGTGTGCCCTAACCACCTCCCTCACTTCCGCCCATCTTATCTCCCCACACTCCCAGCCACATTGACTCCACCCGCCCTCTCATTTCTTCCAACTGCATTCCCTCCCCAAATCCTTTCATCTCCCCTCACCGCCCCCCACTCCCCTCATCTTCCCACCCCATCATCCCTCCCCCCTACCGCACCTGGCGGCCTGAGCGCTCCTGAGCTCGTTCTCGTAGCGCTGCATGGCTGCTGTCAGCGTGCGCTCCCTGGGGGGACAGGAGGAGGGGGGAGTGGAAAGGAGGCAACGAGAATGCACAGTTGCAAACTCAGAAGATGCCCCCAGTCCACCTTGTTCTCCTAGCGCTGCAAGGCCGTAGTCAGCGTGCGCTCCCTGGGAGGGGAAGAGGGGGCGAGAGGGCAGGGCGGAATAACTGAGGCGGGAAGAGAGGTAAGCACAGCCGCATTGTAATATTTGGCCTAATCAATATAAGGACCGTTGGAGCACAAAGAGGAGCATACTCTGTTTCCGTCAGGGAGGCGGCGTGGCAATCATAGGCAGTCGTGGAGTACTACTCCCATCCCATCCCATCCCATCCCATCCCATCCCATCCCATCCCATCCCCTTGCCACCCTCCCCCTTGCCACCCTCCCCCTTGCCACCCTCCCCCTGCCATCCTCCCCCTTGCCACCCATCCCCGTGCCACCCATCATCGTGCCACCCTCCCCCGTGCCTCCCCCCAGTTGCCACCCTCCCCAATGCCAACCTCTCCCCCCACAACTCACATGGCTGCGAATCGCTTGAGGGTGCGCGCCACTGCTGCTGTCTCGTCCGCCATCATTTCAGACACTCTGGGGGGCGGGGAGGAGGTGCAAGGGGGAAAGGCCCGGGGGAAACGGGGAGCGGAGGAGAAGTGGCGCACAGGGGGGGTGGGTGTGGGCCACGGCTGCTGTCTCGTCCGCCATCATCTCAAACACTCTGGGGGGCGGGGAGGAGGTGCAAGGGGGATGCACGGGGGGAGAAACGGCGCGGGGGGGACAAGTGGCGCACAGGGGGTGGAGTGAGACACTGCTGCTGTCTCGTCTGCTATCATCTCTGACACTCTGGGGGAGGGGAATTTCGGGGCATGGCAGTGTGGAGTGACAAGGGAAATGGGCACGTGGGGGCTGAGGGATGGGCAACAGCAAAGCAAAACCGAGGGAAATGTTTGGTGGGCCTTTGAAAGTGCAAGGAGTTGAAGATGGTGAGGGAGGAGGAGAGGGAGGAGAGAGCAGCAGGTGCTGGGCTTTTGAGAGGAAGGAGCATAAGGGGCGAGAGCAGGAGGGTGGGCGAGGTGGGTTGGAGAACTCACGTCTTTTGTGTCTGGCCGTTCTTCTTGCGGAACTCTGCTGACCTGCATGAGGAGGCATGTGAAGAGCATGTGAGGGGCATGTGAGGGGCATGTGAGGGGCATAAAAGGGGCTTGTGAGGAGCATAAAAGGGGCATGTGAGGAGCATAAAAGGGGCATGTGAGGAGCATGTGAGGGACATGTGCGGCGCATGTGAAACGCATGGCAGATTATATGCAGCAGCAAACCCCACTCCCCTGCTCCCTCCCTATCTCGACTCACTCCCTGCTCCCCCTCCTCTCCCACCCACTCCCTCCCCTCCTCTCCCCTCCTCCCCCCTCTGTCACCCAACGCACCTCTTGACAGCAGCAGCGGCCACAGTGGCCAGAATCTGCTGCTGCCGCCTCCCCCTGAGCTCCTCCAGCTTCATCGCAATCGCCGCAATGTCCCTCTGCGCCGCCGCCTCCCGCTCCTGGTCGTACTCGCGCGTGCCGTCCCCCACCACCTTCTCCCCCGCGTCCTGCATCGTCAGGTCCAGGGTCGTGTGCACCTGCAGGCCCCCCCGCACCACCTCCTCGCGCCCGTACCTCTGCGCTAGCTCGTACAGCACCTGGGGGAAGGGGGGGGAGGGGGAGAGGGCGTGGGGGAGAGGGGGGAGGGCGTGGGAAAGCGGGGGGGGGAGTGTGAGGGAGCGGGGAAAAGGCGTGGGGGAGTGGGGAATGGGTGTGAAGGAGCAGGAAGAGGGAGAGAGAAACAGGGAGACCTAGCACTGAGGGGTGGTCGTTCACATGTGGCGTCGTCCCCCACCTTCTCCCCTGCGTCCTGCATGGCGAGCGTCGGTGCACCTGCAGGCCCCCTCCCTCTCGCCCCTCCCCACCTCCTCACCATCACCTTTCCCTGCAACGCACCTCGCTGATGGAAAGGGGAGCTCGCCACAGCCCACACGCCCCATGCTTGGCCTCGGACCCCAGCAGCAGTGGCTGCTGCAATCCCCCTCTCCCTCCCCCTCCCCCTCCCCCACCTCCCTAACACACCCCTCACCTCGCTGACAAAGAAGGGCGCCCTCCAGGGCCCGGACGTGGCGTGCTTGGCCTCGGACCCCAGCCGCAGCGGCAGCTGCAGGTTCCCTGGTCCTTCCCTGGTCTCCTCCTCCAACCCCAACACTCCATTTCCCTGCAACGCACCTCGCTGACAAAGAAAGGTGCCCTCCAGGGCCCTGAAGTGCCGTGCTTGGCCTCGGATCCCAGCCTCAGCGGCTGCTGCATGGCCTCAGTGGCCGTGGCGATGTCCAGAAACCCCGCCTCCACCATCCGCCTCAGCGCCCGCGCCTGGGGCTTGCGACCCCTGCAGTGGGACAGAGGGGCAGCGATGGGGGAATGGAATGGGGATGAGGATACGAGAGGTGTGTGCTATTGAGGCGCCTCACGAGTGGCATGAATGGCATGGCGTCAGTGGCTGTGGCGATGTCCAGAAACCCCGCCAGAAACCATTCGCCTCAGCGCGTGCGCCTGCGGCTTGCGGCCCCTGCAGCAGCGAATGAAGGGAGGGGATGAGGATGGATGGGGATGAGGATGTGAAGGGGGATTGTGTTGGGATGTGCATGGGCAAGGGCATGGGCATGCACATGGGCATGGGAATGGGCACGGGAATGGGCATGGGCATGCACATGGGCATGGGCATGGGCATGGGCATGGGCGTGGGCATGGGCATGGGCATGCACATTGGCATGGGAATGGGCATGGGCATGGGCATGGGCAGGCACAACACTGCTGAATTACGTCAGTGGCTGTGGCGAAGTGAGAGAGCCTAAAGATGGAGGCGAGGATAAGGATGGGGGGTGGGACAGGGGTGAGGATGGAGATGGACAGGTGGTACCTGAAGGGGTAGGTCGTGCCTAAGGGGTACGTGGCATTTAACAGGGGCAAATCGTACGTGCTGTGGTCACCATACAAGTGAGGAACGACCGGTGCTGGCAAGTAGGTTGTACTTGCAGGTGCCACCTGGTGCAGGTCATACCTGGAGGGGTCGCGGTAGGGCGAGAGCAGCTCGGGTGCGGGGATGATGCCGGCGAGCATGGCACACTCGCCCAGCGTGAGCAGCGATGGGTGCTTGCCAAAGTAGAGCGCCGATGCTGCCTCCAGCCCCGTCACCCCGTGGCCCCAGTAGATCTGCAGGCGACAGACAACAGACAGACACAGACAGAGGGGCAGCAGGCCAACAGACAGACGGAGGGACAGAGGATCAATGAGACTCCAGCCCCGTCGCCCGTGGCCCCAGTAAATCCACAGGCGAGGGCATTGGTCATTGCGTATGGGGCATAGGGCATTGGGCATGAGACACCAGAGTGGCAGCAGAGAGCAGACAGCAGAAAGACGGTGAGAATCCAGCCCATCACCCCGTGGCCTCAGTAGATCTATAGGTGGGGGCATTGGGAATCAGTGGGAATCAGACAACAGACAGATAGCAGAAACAATGTGTGCTTCCAATACTCATATAACGAGGCTGACCTTATTGAGGTAGAGGTGCAGGATGTCCCACTTGGTCATGCGCCTCTCTATAATCACGGCCAGTATGATCTCCACCAGCTTGCGCGTCCACCGCCGCTCGTTCGACAGAAACACGTTCTTCACCAGCTGAGAGGAGGGGGAGATGCGGCAGGGTGGGTGGGAAGCAAGCGCTGGGGAGTGAGCTCACAACCGCTCGTTCAACACACACACGTTCTTCACCAGCTCAAGGGGGCGGGGCGGCGGGGGGCGTGTGGCAGGGTGGATGGGGGAACAAGGGCTGGAGGAGTTCAACTGTGCCTTAAATGCTTAACTCTCTCTTTAGGAATTTCAGTGCCAGTTCGCCCGTCCGCCCTACCCGTCCGCCCTACCCGTCCGCCCTGCCCGTCCGCCCTACCCGTCCGCCTTACCCGTCCGCCCTGCCCGTCCGCCCTACCCGTCCGCCCTACCCGTCCGCCCTCCCCGTCTCCCTCCCCGCACACCACCCCTCACCTGCTGCGTGATCGTACTCCCGCCTCCCGTCCGCGCCAATGACATAATGGCACGTGTCAGGCCCTTGGGATCGAACCCCTGGTGTTCAAAGAACCGTCGGTCCTCCGTCGCAATAACCGCCTGCCACATCACCGCCGGCACCTCAGTCGGCTTCAACGGCGCCTGCCCCTTGCTCGCGTCCTTCCGCCGCCCGCCGAACCCGCCGGGAACGACGGTGGCGATCAAGTCGCCGTGGCAGTCGTAGATGGCGGTGGCTCGGCGCGCTTCGACGGCGGTCTTGGGGTCGAAGTGCGGCTGCTCCGCAAACAGCTTCTTCCAGCGCGAGAGGAAGTCCGGGGGGAGTGCGGAGAGCAGCATGCGGAGAAACGCCGCCGCTCCGCCGAACGCCAGCGCGAGCGCAACGGACTGAATTGACACGCGCAGGAACTTACTGTCCCTTGCTCCGCCTCCCCCGCCGCTTTCTGCGCCGCCAGACGCGGCTTTAGCGGAATCGGCAATCGCTAAAGGTGCTTGTGGCGGGCGGCATGGCGTGGCTGTATGTGCTGCTACAGTGGCCTGGGGCGATAGGACGTGGAATTCGGATGAAGTTGGATCCTGGACCAGCATAAGTGGGCCATACTTAGGCTGCCTGTGACCGTTCGTCGGTTCTGATTGGAGGAGAGCTAACTGAGATAGTACGGCCGACATCTTAGCGGCGGATGGTCGAGATTTGGAGCGATGCGACGCGTACGAAGGTGACTCAAACGAGGGCTCAGTGTGCTGCTGTAGGGAGCGGAGAATCTGCGGCAGGTGTAAGGAGCGCAGCAGCGCAGCTTCCACGTGGCGAGCTGACGACACGCGATCGTTACTCGTCTCATGGCTTCTGGGTAGCTCTTTGGCATGACCGGCGCACCAACCAGGTGCTGCCACCTGGCTAATTGCAGTTGCGGATTGCATCGTGCCTGCCTAACGTCGTAAACTCAAATCTGCCCAAATCCTATCCTCCCACCTGGCTACCTATCCCAGCCAAACCACGACGTGGAACTGCACTTTTGTTCACTTACCGGGACCCACGAACAAGCATTTGGACCCACGAACAAGCATTTTGACCAGAAACTGCGTCACGCACTAGAAGGTCCTGATTCTCGTCACGCCGCACGACTTCTACGATGCACATTCTAAAGGCTAATACGTTCTGAAAGCTAATGCGTAGAACACAACTTGTCCCCAGCGAAAGTCGCAAGGGAAAAGATACCAGAAAACCTGCCCAGAATCCGGAAAAGCGTGTCGGAATATGGAAACATATTCGCCCAGACGAACCATTCTCGAGAAAGCTGGGTCAAGGGGGGAGTTGGAGGGAGCAGACAGGGTGGACTGACAAAAGGATGCTGAGAACACTCCGAACGTCGCGGGCACAGGGAATTGCTTTGAAGAAGCTGTGGGTTTGTCGCACGAAGCTAGCACACTGGTTTGGGAATGAGCTTTGGCGCGAAACGAGTGTGAAGTGAAGTAGGCGCGAACAAAGGCTGGTCAGAAAACATGTTATACCGGATAACAATCGAATAGTTACATGTTTTCAAGTTCCCTTTCACTATCTTCTGCATCTGAAGTGCTATCCGAATAGCAGTTTCAACTTTATGCCCCACCGTTCCTAACTTTCCCTAGGTAGGTGTTCCATCTTACCTTTTGTATAAAGAATTTGTAACCCAATACGTTTTCCAGAACATGGCTTCAGAGAACGCCATGATAAGTGCAGACCGAAAAATCAAAGAGCTACAATTCAAACAACTCCATTATATCTTACATTACATCTGAACAGAAGCATCACACTGTCTACACTTAGCCATAGCACCTGATGGGATCTGTGCATCCCTTGGCCGCTGATTGACCCGAGCCAAACCTCCCACCCTTAGAAAGATACTGTTGATGGTAGCTCTCGGCTGCATACCACTTCGTCGCGGGCATAATCTCTGTCACAATCTTCTTGCCGATTTGAGCCTGCCTCGCCTCCAGCGACTTTTTAGCAATTTCCTCTTGCTCAGGGGAGAAGACGTAGATCCCTGAGCGGTACTGTGTGCCGGTGTCACCACCCTGGCGGTTGAGCGTGGTGGGGTTGTGCCTGTTCCAAAACACGTCAAGTAGCCCCTCGTAGGACACCTCCTTGGGATCATACACCACTCTCACCGCCTCCACGTGGCCTGTGCGCCCAGAGCACACCTGGTGGACAGATGGAAGGAGATAATTCAGTTTAATTGTAAAGTCACTAGGACCCCACATGAATTGTTATGTTTCTGTTCATGTGGTCACTAGGATTCCACACTCATGATTCCTACCTGCCATCAGGTTCTCTAGTTTCAAAAACAAATGCAAATACTCGATTACCTGCTCATAGGTAGGCTGGTCATTCAAGCCTTGCGTGTATCCCACCTCCGTCCTGCACGCACAAAGACGAAACATGGCTTAAAAATGATTGAGTCATCGAGCGAAAACGACCAAGCACATCCCCCGCATCGTATCACACCAGCATCGAACTTCATCACATCGCAATGATCCACTGAAACTAACAAACACTCAATGTTTTTGAAAATAAAACAACGCCCTGCAAACGCAAGCATGCACAGCATCCAGCGATACCAATCAACCACTTACTTGACCACACCCGGGACCCGCTGGAAGGCGAGCTCGACGCCCCAGAAGCAGCCAGCGCCGAACTCTGCGAACTGCAGCCCCGCGCCGGGGTTGTCCGTATCCGGCTCCTGCGCCACTCCTGCCGCCGCCATCGGCGCTGCTGGCTTGCCCCACCCGGCGAAGGAAAAGAGCGATTCCGTGGTGACCGGCTGAGGGAGGCGAGGGGAGAGACGCAGGAATTCGATTAGGGCTGGGGTTAGTAGAATTTCCACATATTTTATTGAAATAACTCACTATTCCAACTCTGGATAATCTCACACACGGGGGTCACAAGGAAATTCACCTCCTGCAGAATCAGCTCAGAGCGTGCGATCGGTAACGTTGCGGCGAGTGAGAGGAGGATAGGGAGTGCGAGACGAACCCTAGAAGACTTCACGGACGCGACTGGCACGACAGTGGCTGTGAGCAGGCCTTTATGCCCGCCAAGGAAATTCGCCGAGCCGAGGCGACGGGTAGCGACGCTACGGGCGTTGGTGGCAAGAGAGGAGGCGAAGGACGCGCAGGTTTCGACCGAGGCGACAGGAAGCGTCAACATGGCGGCCGTAAGTTAAGAGCCGCGTGAAGCTGAACGTGTGAAAGTGAATTTGCTGAGAGTCTGGTGACAGGAAGGGAGGGGTGGGGGAGGAATTTGATGCTTGCGGAAAGGGGCACTGCCTTGGGGTGTGGAGTGAGGTGGAAGGACGGTGGTGCTGTGAGCTGCCGTGGCAGTGCGAGGAAGCACGGGAGAGACACGCTGGACAAACTGATGATGGAGATTGTCATGGTGGTGACGCAGATACTCTTGTGACCTTCCACGTCGTCCATCACCTCCACAACCAACCAGATTCTTCCTTGTTGCTGTACTCGATTTACAATGATCCAAGGTTCACTTGAGATGCTTGAAATTCTATGGTGAAACACACTATATACCCGCTGCACCCCAAATACTTGCATTATTTTTCAGCCTCCAAGCCTGACGCCTGCCCAGTAAACGCGGGAGCGGACAAGTCATTAAACGTGTCAGGGGTTTACTTTCTGACAGCTTGGACAGATCTGCGTCCGCTGACCATTCATATTCGTCACACGCCAAGGTGGTCCCCAGATGCGGTTTGAAACCCATCAATTCATCTCATCCATCCGAACCGACCAACTTCCAAACCTAGCGTTGCATGGCATGAATTTGCGGATCTGCTGCACTGTGCGGCCGCCGAAACTCTCATGTGCAGAACAGGATATGATGCTGCTCACGACATCCATGACCCATCATACCTTTCCCGCCATTTTCACACTCAGCAGGCTCGTCATTTCAAAAATGTGCAGGTTGCTCTGGTGCCGAATTACCGGACTCGTTACATTGCGATTAGTGCGATCACATGTGATGGCTGCCATGCGGCCCACGCGACTCATGCGACATACACTGCGTCGAATCGTCGCACCACCACCCACATACCAACCATTCATTTCTATCAAAAGCGCCAGCCACGACCGTGAGTGGTGCCATTTCATTGCTATGCAGCTGCCTAACATGCTCCTACACATCATATAAAGTTTAGGCACTGATCTGTAGGTTGTCGGCTAACTGCTTCTCTGACGACTCCTATCCCTACCAGTCTTTGCTTAGCGTTTGCTTGTTGTATTGTTTTGCTTTTCAGCACATTTGCGTGACTCGTATCTAGCATTTGTAACAACATGTCGACTTCGTACCAAATATCGTCGCCGAGGCATGACGCCGCGCCGATCACGCTCCGCGCGTGCAGAAGGAGCGAGGGCGCCGCGGAGCCCGCGATCGACGTCTGCGTGCGGTATCCGCACGAGCAGGCGCGGTCGAGCTTCGTGATTGGTCGGAGCGGCGAGATCACGGTGGTGTGTCGCGTGAAGCAGGTGCGATGGAAACCGGTCCTTGTGTTCCAATGGCCGCCCAAATCCTCGAGCCTCGATCTGCTCGTCGAGCCGGCGGTCAGCGCGACTAGTAGAATAGCTAGTAGACTTAGGAACCTTTCGATAGGAAACCAGACGAGCTTCGAGAGTGTAGAGACGCGACTTAGGGAACACCGGCTGGTCGCAGGAGCAGCGAGCTTCGTGCATGGACGACTGACGGAACTCGAAAGGCAGACGAAGCTCGCGTCGTCGTTAAAGGTGAGTAACCAGTGACGAATCAGTCTATACTGGTTCAGATCCCTCTGATATACCATTGATTCCCAGGTTGTGATGACACCCGCTCTAGTCCGTCTCGCATTCAACCTCATCTCCATTCCCCTTGACGACCTTGCCTCTTTCTCTTCTCGCAGGACCCGCAGGCGGCTTTATCCGCTGCGGCGACGCAGCTTCTAACGAGAGCGCAAGGCGAACCTCTACGCCATCGTAAGTCACTATATTTTTCTCCGAATCATGAACCCTCTCCCTTCGTACCACTCCTCCACTGCTGCGTGTCACTCTTATCGCCAGTTCTTCCCCCACTCACGCGCGATTCTACCATTCATCTCTGATTTGCAGTGGCAGCGGCGCACGGGCGACTAAGTCGAGGGGTGGCGACCCTGACGAGTCGCATCGTGTCGCACGCGCTGGGGCTGGAGAGGGACCTCAGCAAGGAGCAATTCGCGGCGCTGTTGCCACCTGTAAGCCGCGCTGCTGTCACCCAACCCGATCCTTGTTGCCCGAGCGCGTGCATAAACTGCGAAGGCTGATCCCGTGCTGTCACTGTTTCCAAACCCTACTCATTTCCCCTACAAACACCCTCGTCTTTTTTTTTCCGATCGCATTGCCCCCCATTTCCGTCTAAGATCCCTGGCTTGCCCCTTTTCCCTGTCTCACCCCTGGTCCCTGCCTTGTACCCCTGGGCCCTAATCCATGTCCAGTCCGTTTGCGTGGACGGTCATATCCTCGCCGCGCCGCAACGCGCGGCGGCCGCGGCGTCGGCGGCGTTGAACACCCTGGCGACCGCGGCAATCGACCCCGCGTCGCTGCGGCTGGGCCATAGAGGCGACCCGCTCGCGTCGGCTGCCGCCGCCGCCTCCGTCTCCGAGTTCCCCGCCGTACCCGGCGGGATTTTCGCGCAGCGGAGCCGGATCGCGGCGACGGTGGGGCCGTTCGGGCTCCCCGTCACCGGCGGGTGGCTGTCGTCGCGCTACGGGTGGCGCGAGGCGCGCAAGAAATTCCACAAGGGGATCGATATAGCCGTTGAGGAGAACACGCCGGTGGTCGCGGCTCAGGCGGGGAGAATCTCGTTCGCGGGATGGCGGAAGGGGTATGGATACGTGGTTGTGGTAGATCACGGGAAGGGGTACTCAACGCTATACGCGCACTGCAACCGGTTCGTGGCGCGGAAAGTGGAAGCGGTGGGGAAGGGGCAGGCGATCGCGCTGTCGGGAAACACGGGGCACTCGACCGGGCCGCACCTGCACTTCGAGATTCACCGGCACGGGTCGCCCGTCGACCCGCTGCTGCTGCTGCCCGCGGAAGCGGCGGGCACGGAGAGATAGGCGCGGCGGGGCGCGCGGAGAGAGATCGGGGCGGAGGGGCGCGCGGGGAGGCGCGGATAGGGGGGCTTGGTTGCGGAGATTGGGGTTGAGGTGAGACGATAGTGTCTCGAAGACACGTGTATGTGCGATGGAGTGGAGTGGGTTGTTGAGTGGTGGCGTTGGTTGGTGGATGCGAGAAGGGGGGGCGGTTTGGGGGGAGGGGGGTGCATGAGGAGTGGGTGTAGGGAGGAGACGGACGGACGCGGATAGAAGCTGACCCGTAACAGGAGTAGGTAGGAACCATAGCACGACAGCATGATTGATGATGGTGTAGCTTACCGGTCGCCAAGGACTGGCGTGGGTGGCCGGTGATCACTCGGAGGTTTCTCAGTTTTGCCTGTTGAGCTACGTAGCAGTTTTGGCAGGGCCAGTGCGACAAGAGTGCTGGTGCCCTTCCCTGGAATCTGCTGCCTTGTCTCCTCTTTGTATATTGGTGTCTTTATTATTGATTATCAAAGTGCAAATGCGAGCAGTGACTGTTCTGTGGTTGGATAATGGCGGGGTGGATATACTGATAACTTGGTAAGCACATGGTGGTGCAAGAAGCTGACAGGCTGGCAGGCTGCTTGCACCCGATTGCCATGCTGCTTGCTCCGTGCTATTACTCGCGTCACAGCGGTGTTCGTGCAAGGAAAGGCCAGAGAGGAGCCATGACTCATGAGGCACAACCACGCCCTTCCCATGCACACCCTGTTATCCCCCCATCTCCACCTCTCCCCTCTCTTGTTCCCCTTTCCGTCTTTGCGGTGACTGGTGTACCGTCCCCGCCCCGTTTATCCTAGCCCATCTTCACAGTGTTACAACCCATGTTATTTGAGACACTTGAGAAGCAGCAGCACATGGAAAAATAAGAATGCCCTCCTCTCCGGGGCATTCCTCGATTCATGATAATGAGACAGACTAGTGAAATGCCAACACATTTATAGGATGCGTAAAAGTACGTTAGAGTACCGCCAACAGCCAGCCTATGTGAAATATTGTCTTGCGGGCTGACACACCTTCCTCACTTGCTTCAACTCTGCAGCTCGCTCTTTTGGGGTATCTTTTACAGGGGCTATTCTTGGAGTGATATGGAACATTAGTGGCCAGTATTTTCCCGTTACTGCAAATGACAGAACACGCAAAACAGGGCGGATGTCAACGAAACAGGAGCAGCCCAAAGGGGGAGGAGGGCAAGGGGGGGGAAGAGGTGGGAGAGGTGGGGTTTGGAGCAGATAGAAAGTTGAGAAGCATCAGAAAATACTTCAGTGGCTAGAAAGGAACAATGCATACACGAATCATCTTCTTACCAAAGAGGCGGTTGTGTTTGGAGTCCCATGCAATCCCGTTCAACACGTCGAATTCCTGAGAGGAGAAACACGTGCATATACCTATAAGTTTTTTTTGGTATGAATTCTCATGCATCATGTTCTTCATGCGTACCATCCCGCATGCACCAATGAGTGTTTGCCCATACCATATGATGCATTCCATATGCCATATATACTTCAACTTGTCTGCACTTGTGGAAACTGAATCGTGAAACCAAACCCAGCGAAGCAGAGGACACAAATCTTTGCAGGAAATGCTACAAATCCCACTCACACGTGCGTTAAGTTCGTTTGATCTCGCAGCAGCTAGGCGCCTGCATGGATGGGAGGAGGCGTGGGTGCAGGGGAGTAGGGCACATGGGAGTTGTGGGATGGCTAAGCACTGCAAGCAATGAACAACCAGCACTTGATAACATGCCACATTGGGGCAAGTGGCATGAAGCAAGTGGCACTCATCTGCCCCCATTAGCTACTTCAACTCGAGAGCACCAGCCACACAAGCAACTCACTGCAGGGAAGAGAGGTCCAGCCATGCGAGCACTCGGCCGGTGTGAGGGTGGATGGCGGCGAGGCAGGTGGAGAGGAACACGATGAGAGGGGCGCGCTGTGCTGACAGCCTAATGACAACCAACTCACTGCAGGGGGGCCAAGGTGCAGCCACTCACTGCAGGGGGGCCAAGGTGCAGCCACAGCACAAGAGCCACTCACTGCAGGGAGGAGAGGTCCATCCACGCCAACACTTTCCCGGTGTTGGGGTGGATGGCGGCGAGGCAGTTGGAGAGCCACACGTTGGCCCACACCAGCCCCCCCACCACCTCCAGCTCGTTCAGGTTCGGGATGCTCCTCTTTCCGTCCTTCACTGTCACGCGCGCCACGGCTGGAATGGAGTGCGGGAGACGGAGTGGGGGTGAAGAAGAGGAGGGGAGCAGGGGGAACCTTCAGCCACACGTTGGCCCACACGAGCCCCCCCACCACCTCCAGCTCGTTCAGGTTCGGGATGCTCCGCTTTCCGTCCTTCACTGTCACTCGCCCTTTGGCTGAGACGGTGGGGGAGATGGGAGGGGAGTAAAGGGCAAGCTCTGAAGGACGAGAGGTAGGAGATGGAGGAGAGTGGAGGAGCCGTCAGTGCCGACTGATAGCAATGGAAATAAGAAGCGGCGTTTCAAAAGGGGGCCCTTGAGCAAATGAAAGAAACCCTTGAAGGCGGAGGGGTGGAGACGGAAGAGTAGGAGCGAGCCTTAAAGGGGGATGAGTCGAGGTGGAAGAGAGAGGAGTGCCGACCATGACTGAGTCGTTCAGCAGCACTGCCACTGCCACACCCCACCCGTCCGACTTCTGACGCGCCTCAAAACCCGCCTCACCTAACCTTCGCGGCGCCTCAAAGCTCGACCCATCTAACCTTTGAAGGACGAGGAGTCGAGGTGGAAGAGGGTGGATGAGCCATCTGTGCCGACCATGACCGACCCGTTGAGCACAGAAAGGCCCCACCCATCCGCCATGTCGTGCTGGAAGCTGCCTGGAAGCAGCGGGGGCGAACACAGGAGGAGGGATGTCAGGGATTGCGAAAGAGCCAATATGACATGTAGCACGGCTTTGACATATAAGAATTTGACATATCAGGGCATGAAATGTCGGGGCTTGACTGAATAGCATGGGATGGCTGGCGTGGGATGGTTGGAGTGTGAGCGCAACGCACTCTCCATATCCACCTTATATCCGTCAACCCTACCACCCCACCCCCCTCTTCACCAACCTCTTCCTTTCCCCCCACTCCCCCCCGCCCTTCTTCCCATCGCACCCACCTTGGGGTTGCAGTGTCTCTCTGTCATACACCAGGCCTGATTGAACATGCCACGCCAGTCCATGCTTAACGAGCCGCCCTCAAGTATGACCTCCCCCGTCCCCCGATTCCCCTTCTCTCACCCCGTGGTTGCAGTGTCTCTCTGTCATACACCAGGCCTTTCCGCACACGCCATGCCAGCTGGTACAGCCTGTGCGGTTCAGAGAGGCACAGAGGGGTTCCGACGAAGGAAATACGGAGGCAAGCGGTAAAGAGCGGTGCAAAGGGATCTCAGCAGAGGTGTGCCCCTGTGTCGTACACTAGGACTTCGCTCACACGCCAAGCCAGCTGGCACCACCTGGCTCTGATAGAACTCCTAACAAGGAACCAGAGGGGTTCTGAACAGTTCAGAGGGGTTCAGAGGGGAGGTCTCCAGCCTTACCTGCTGTTATGCATTGTACATGCACTGTACCTGTTATAACGGACTGTACGTTTCATGACGCACTGTACCTGTTATAACGGACTGTACGTTTCATGACGCACTGTACCTGTTATAACGGACTGTACGTTTCATGACGCACTGTACCTGTTATAACGGACTGTACGTTTCATGACGCACTGTACCTGTTATAACGGACTGTGCGTTTCATGACGCACTGTACCTGTTATAACGGACTGTACGTTTCATGACGCACTGTACCTGTTATAACGGACTGTACGTTTCATGACGCACTGTACCTGTTATAACGGACTGTATGTTTCATGATGCACTGTACCTATTATAACGGACTGTACATTTCATGACGCACTGTACCTATTATAACGGACTGTACGTTTGATGACGCACTGTACCTGTTGTTGTGCAGTGCAAGGCCCTCTCCGAAAACGTCGGCACTCTGAGGCACGTTGTTGAGCACCTGGAGAGGGAGCAAGAGGAATTGAGCAGGAGTGAGAGGTAGTGAGAGGGAGTGAGAGGGAGTGAGAGGGAGCGAGAGGGAGAGAGAGGGAGTGAGAGGGAGCGAGAGGGAGCGAGAGGGAGCAAGAGGGGTTGAGAAAGAAGTGGGACAGGGGAGCAATGGAAGGGAGAGAAAGTACGAGCCGCTACATGTCATGCCATGGCACTTCACTCCCCATGCCATGCCCATGCCACGCCATGCCATGCCATCCCACAGCATGCAACATACATACCTCACCAGAGGCCACATCCACCTCCCTCACTGTCGACTACAGGGGGGCAAGGGGAGACGGGGGCAGCACGAGTGCGATACCATAACAGCACCAAAGGAGCAGCACCAGTGCATTGCCATAGCAGCAATGCAGCACGCGACATACCTCACCAGTTGCCACATCCACCTCCCTCACTGTCGACTGCAATTGGGAAGAAGGGGAAGTGCATGGGAAAAGAGGATAGGGGCAAGGGGAGAAGCATTGGTGAACAAAATCACAGGGGAATGGAGACAAAGGGGGACAGGGGAAAGGGGGGACCGAGACAAGAGGGGGCAGGGAGAGGGAAGGAACCCACGATGATACTGGAGGGGTGGATCGAGCAGACTCGACGAGCACGGGAATGCAGAGGTACAGTGATTCTGCAATTGCCTGATTAGATGTGAATCCCCCGTATCCCCAGCCCAGCCACACAGTCAAGTTCCCTCTCGCCCTTGAGCGCCCTATTCAGACATGCGCGCCCCACTCACACATGCACATCCTCCCACTCACCCGCCCGTACTCCCCCGTGCTCTCGTAGAACACCCCCTCGCCGCTGCCCCTCCCCCCGCTCGTGTCATGGTCCACGTATAGCAGACCCTGGGGGGAGAGGTGGGAAAAGGGGAAGGGGAGGGAAATGGAGAAAGGAAGAGAGGGATTCGGGAAGAAGGCGCATGGACGGCAGCAGATGACCGGGATTGCGTGCACAGCAACAAAAGAACATGCCCCTTTGCCACTCCACCTCCCCCCGCTCGACTCATGGTGCACATGCAGCAGACCCTGGGGGAAGAGGTGGGGAATGCGGGGGGCGAGCGAGGGAGAGGGGACGAGGTAGACTGGATTGAGTGGTCAACAGATAAAAAAAATATTCCTTCTCTCGCCACCCCACCTCCTCACGTTAGCCTCATGGTTCACGTGCAAGAAAGCAAGTGCGCCTGACTGCTACGTGCCTGAGTGAATGCCCTCCTGTCGTGCGGGTACGTCTTGATCAGATCAAACTCCAGAATCCGCGGCACAGACGCATTATCCTCTAGCAGAAACGAATCACTCCCAAACGCGGACGTTGCTGCAGCTTCAGTCCCCCGCGTGGCTCCGTCACCAATAGACTCGCCCTGGGAAGACTTGCCATTGATAGGCTCGCCATCAATATACTCGTCATTGACAGGCTCGTCTTCCGCGTTGATCCGCGCGGAAGGCGCGCCGTCGTCGGCGCCGATCGGCGCGGAGGGAGCGGCGGAGGGCGCGAGGAGGGAGCGGAGGAGCGCTTCCGCCGCGGGCTGCGCGCCGAGCCAGAAGGCGGCGGCGGAGGCGAGGAGCAGCGTCGCGAGGAAGGCGGCGAACGCTGCCGCGCATGGGAGGACCTGATAAGAGGAATGGAGGGCGCGGGGAATGGAGGGTGGTGAATGGAGGGCATTCGTCGACGGATGCCTTGCACGGCATCGCAGCAGGTGTCTTTGTTACACTCGATTTCGCATTCAAAGGTGCCGCAGCGAGCAGCACGGACCTGCGACGCGCCGGGCCTCTGTCGGCCGAAGCCCCACGTGCCGCGTTGCTTTCTGGCCTTCACCTGCGGCGGGACAGGCGGCGGTTCATTGCTGCGAGCCGTGGTGGCGTGCCTGCGACTGGGCTGAGGCGGCATGGACGAGGATAGAGCGAGGGAGCTGCGTCAGCGAAAGAACAGCTAGAAGGAGGGTGGTTTGTGGTGGGGCGGGCGGGAGTGTCAGGCGTGATGGTGGCAGGCTGGCGGCTCGTGAAATCCAAGGGAGGGAAGAGTGGAGGAGATGGACATGTTGGCTGAAGGTGGCGAGTTGTTCACAGAGTTCACCGTTTCCGTTTGTGATACCTTCGATATTTCCATCCTAAACTTTGACCCCTCATATGCCTTGCAATAATTTCAATCCTGCTGCGACTGAGCTAATTTAAATAATATACGATTCAATAGAAAATAATTTCAGGGTCAATGGGCTTCTTCGCATATAACCAGCTTTGCACATGACCAACTATATAACACATAGCCAACGATATCAAACATCACAATTTGGATCTATTATTTTCACTCGATTTGACAGCGAGCTCATGTCGGGAACAGCCATCGGTGATGGCGTGCAGCACGCCCTGGTCTCGTGCCCAAACCGCAACTCGGCCTCCACGCCCTAGATCTCTCGGACAGTCCTGACCTGACCATGACAGCCTGCATGCATCTCGCGCCAGACTCGCTCTTCGCTCCCTCCACAGTCTCCAGATTCTAATCTTTAATTGCAGCTTGGTCTTGAATTCGCGTTCACCTCCTTGTTCTCTGCACGAAGTGCTCCTCCTGTCTGCAATTTCTCGTGAATCCGCGTTCCACCTCCTTGTTCTCTGCACGCAGTGCTTCTCCAGACTTGTTCGTCGACGATGGATAGCGCCATGTGGCCGATTCTGATTCTTCTTGCTCCGCCGTTGGCGATGTTCGCCGGTGTTTTCTCCTTGTATCAGTTCTCACAGCTGTATCTCCTGTTTGTCCGGATTGGTCTACGTCCGAACGAAGGCGCATGGCGTTATGTCAGGCCGTATCACAGAAACATGGTCAGTATCGTTATTTATTTCGTCTTTTCGATTGTATTGTCTATTCTGTGTTGGGGATCAAAACGTATTCCTCTGGTGTTGTCTTCACACAGGTGAAAGTGCTCAACCAGACCCTGGGTGACGCTGACAAGTTCTTGTCCAAGATACAACCAACCCATGTCATCCTGTGCGCCATGCTGATTGTTCTACTCGTCCAGCTAGAGCGACTGATCAGCCAAGCCAGCGCTAACGCTCGCTCACGGCGCTAGGTACCAAAAACTAAGGCTTAGCTTTCTCCCCGGTTGCTGACGAGGATTGGCAGCTTGAGAGTAGCAATTAACTTTGGACTGGAAGGTAATCTAGCCAGGTGGATACTCGTCACAGATAAGCAGTGTGCCTGTTCACTTGTCGATTGTAGCAACGAATGAGCTAAATGTACAGACGTTGGGTATATCATGCAGCCTTGAGAAAGTGTCAGGATGGACCATATTTATAACGGGGATGGAGGAACCCTAGTTTCTTTCGCATCAGAATTCTACACCGATCTACAACGAGGCGCTGGACACTCGGCTCGGCTCGGCATTGCCGTCACTCTCCCCGCTTCCCCCGCCAACCTCATCCGCCAGCCACACATTGCGTTGTGCTGCACCCCTTTTACCTCCCCGCACATCACTTTCCATCCCACCTTCCCTCCCGCTTCCGCCAGTCCTTCCAGCGCGAAAGCACCGATAACATCCGGTGGCTCGGCGCGCATATTGTAGCTCCGGAAATTGTCGCATGCTGACGGTCCAGACACACCACACACCAGTCTCCAGGGAATTCAAACAGTCTCTAGTAATCACCTGGCGACTTTACACGTACATACTGTTTGTGGTTCCAGAATTAGAACGTCCTGAGTGTGACTCACGACAATGCACGGCTCAGTTTCGAGTTAACTCCTGACTTATTGTGTCTCTTGAAATCTATCTATGGCGGAAGCGACTGTAGTTAGGTGGCATCGCGACAACCAGTCGCCAGGTCAGAACGTTCCGCGAACCAGCTCCGCACAGTCCCCCTCAGGCACGCCGCGTGACCATAGTAACGCGGCCGTGCTATCACCAGCATCGGTCGGACCATCGTCACGTCTCTCGCAACTGGGAAGGGAGAACCAGGGCCGGCAGCAGCAACAGGCACAAATGTCTGCTAGGTTTAGGTAGGAGCGTACCGCCATTGGCTTGCAACGGCTAGTTCCACGCACTCTGTACATACGACACTAGCTTTGCAACAGCTTAAGCTTTTGTTTCTGATTATTGCATTTTCAGCCTAAATTTTCCGACTGCCAACGACTCTTTCTCCCTCGCACCCTCGTTCACTCACCCGCTGTCCGTTCCGCCATTCCCGTTTCCCGCCAGGCATCCCCCTGGCGCAGCGGAGAGGCCGCGCGAAGCCGCGGGAACAGCCGCGGAACGACCCGAAGCTGTAGGCCGATCCGGAAGAGACCCCGTCGGGAGTTTTGCGATTGCTACGTCTGCTAGCACTCCCAACGGTCACCATGGCCGAGGGAAGCTGGCCGTCGCGTTTCGGGACGACGACGGGGACGACGATGGGGAGTATTTAGACTGCGACGACGAGCACGACATTATGTACACACCGCGGGAGAGTCACTCGAACGAGCCGCGAGATGCGCGCGACGGCGGACAGGCGGAGGGGGACGAGGGGGGGACGGAGGAGGACACGGATGATGAGGAGGAGGAGACGGATGACGAGGATGATGATGACGGGGATGAGGAGGAGGAGGATGAGGGGGATGAGTCAGAGGATGGTGCAGAAGACGCCATTCGAGACGACAGCGATGTCAATCTGGCCGCCATGCGGAGCCTCAAGGCGTCGCGCAGCGGCAGGGGCATGGTGTCGTTCGCGGACAGGCGGAGGGGGAGCGACGAGGACGGGGAAGGGTATGGGGACGGGGACGGGGAGGGGGATGATGCGTATAACGAGGAGGTGGAGCAGCGGGAGAAGCTCGACCAGGAGGTTATCCAGGGTGCGTGCAGCGGCCAGGAGCTTGACTTGCTGGTGCTGTTGTATGTCTCAGGAGAAGTTAGACCAGGAGGTTATCCAGGGTGCCTGCAGGCTGCAGCGGTTGGGAGCTTGAAGTGCAGTTTGAGCCCAGGTGATTGGGTCTCAGGAGAAGCCCAACCAGGAGAATATGTAGAGTCGACTCAAAGCTCGAGTCTCTTTCTCCTCTCCTCCTCTCCCCCCACTCATTCCCCCTTTTTTCCCTTTTCCCCTCCTCAAATGGTCCTCCGTTAGTCTCCCTCTCCCCTTTCCCTCTCCCCGCCCCTCCTCCGCCTCTCGTTCCCGAGCCATGTACGAGCGAGTGATGATACACATGGAAGAGCTGCCCCACAACTTCAACATCCGAACCTCTTCTTCTTCTGCCTCTACCTCTCACCGTGCTCTCTCTCCACTCTCACCTCTTTCTCCTCACTGCCTCTTCCCGGCCCCAACCCCCCCCCAGCCATGTACGAGCGGGTGAAGCACATGGGAGAGCTAATGACAAACTTCAAGAACCTATTCTTCTTCCTCTGCAACACCTGCCTCTACCTCACCGTGCTCTCCCTTCTCTCTCTCCTCTCCCCCCTCTCTCTCCCCTATCTCCTCACTGCCTCTCCTCTCTCCCCCCCCAGCCATGTACGAGCGGGTGAAGCACATGGGAGAGCTGACGGACAACTTCAAGAACCTATTCTTCTTCCTCTGCTACACCTGCCTCTACCTCGCCGTGCTCTACCTGCAAGCCGACGCCTCCATCTGCTACCAAGTCACCACCGCCCACAACGTGCTGCTGCCGCCCGTGCGTACTTGGGGGTAACGGGGGGGAGTGGTGTGTGAGTGAGTGTTTGTGTGCGTGCGTGCACGTGCATGGTTGTGTGTGTGTGTGTATGGGTGTGTGTGTGTGTGCGTGCGTGTGTGCGTGCGTGCGTGCATGACACCTGCACGTGCATGTGTGCGCATGTGCGTACGTAAATTTATTATTCTTGTACCATGCTGCAGCGTTTGCTGCTTTGCTGCGCCTACCTGCAACCTGACACCTTCTCTCCTCTTTTATTCCCCTCCCCGTCCTTTCGCTTTCAGGACTACACGGCAGCAGCATCCATGACCATGAACAGCCCAGACGACTTCTACACATGGCTCAACGACAGCATCATACAGGTGTGTGCGGTCCTTGACACCGCCATATTTCCACACACCTGGTGTGAAACGGCATCTGTGTGATGCCTAGCCCACACTCACTCCACCATCCCCCTCCTCTGCTTCCTTCCTCCTCCTCCCTCGTTTCCCCACCCACCCTCCATCACCACACTCCCCCTCTTACCCGCAACCATCCAGGTGGTGTGGAAGGACCCTCCCTGTGGCAACGGCATCTGCGAGCGTCCCCTCGAATTTGAAGCATTCGGTCGCTTCGGCTGCTCTGCAGACTGTGGGGGCCTGGCAGCAGTGACCACCGTGACCCTGTACACTTCACCATCCAACTCCACTTTCCTCTTCCTCACCCCCCCCCAATCCCTCCACCCCCTCAACCCTGCCCCCCCTTACCCACCAGGTGGTGTGGAAGGACCCTCCCTGTGGCAACGGCATCTGCGAGCGTCCCTTGGAGTTCGAAGCATTCGGCCGCTTTGGCTGCTCTGCAGACTGTGGGGACCTGGCAGCAGTGACCACCGTGACCCTGTACTTCACCATCCAACTCCATTTTCCTGTTCCTCACCCCCCCCCAATTCCTCCACCCCCTCAACCCTGCCGCCCTTACCCACCAGGTGGTGTGGAAGGACCCTCCCTGTGGCAACGGCATCTGCGAGCGTCCCTTGGAGTTCGAAGCATTCGGCCGCTTTGGCTGCTCCGCGGACTGTGGGGACCTGGCGGAAGTGACCAGTGTGACAGTGCACCTCACCACCGACTTCCACTCCCCCACTGACGCCGCTGCCTCCTCCTGGAACCTCTGCCGCGACGCTCCCTCCCCTCTCTGCTGGTAAGTACTCCTCTCCCCTCTCTGCCCTCCCTTCTCTGCTCGTACTTCACTCGGCCCTTGCCTCTCTGCCAGTGCGCCTCTGCCACTGATGCCGCTGCCTCCTCCTGGAACCTCTGCCGCGACGCTCCGTCGCCTCTATGCTGGTGGGTACTCCTCCTCCCCTCTCCGCCTTCCCTTCTCCTCCCTCCCTCCCTCCCTTCTCTCCTCGCTCTTCTCTCGCCGCTTTCCTCTGGCGGAAGTGGCCAGCGGGACAGTGCACCTCACCACCGACTTCCACTCCTCCATTGACGCCGCTGCCTCCTTCTGGAGCCGCTGCCTCCTTCTGGAGCCTCTGCCGCGATGCTCCCCGCCGATATGCTGGTATCTCCCCCTCTCCGCCCTCGCCGCTCTGTTAGTACCCCCCTCCCCGCTCCCCTCTCCCTTCTTTGCTGGTACCCTCCCATCTCCGCCCTCTCCTCTCTGGTGGTATCCCCCCTCTCTCTGCCTTCTCCGCCCTGCTCGTAGCCCACTTTCCCCCCTTTTTCTCGATCACCTCTCCCCCCGCACCAGGTACGCAGAGGATCAGCAGTTCACAGAGCTGGCATCGGACACGCAAGTCACACTCGCACTGCCACACGGCTCGTGGTCTCTCGTGCTCAATGCGCCGGGGGGAGGCGTTGCCGGCACCCTTCGACTCACCGGCAGCAGAAATGCCGCTTTTGCTGCTGCTGCAGTGGCTGCTGCTGGTATTGGCGGTGGCAGCAGCAGCGGCAGCGGAAACAGCAGCAGCAGCAACAGCAGCAGGGGCAGCGACAGCGGCAGCAGTGACAGTATTGGCGGTATTGGGAAGGTGCTGGTGACGTGGGGAGGGTGCCAAATGTCAGACCTCACTCCCTTGTCTGAATGCCGATCGGTGAGTGAGAGAGCGTGGGACAGTGTGAGAGAGTGCGAGCCGGCGTGGTGTCAGTGAAAGAGTGTGATGGAGTTGAAGTTGTGTGTGAGACATACCCTTTTCAATGTATGCCCATCCCAACACACTCTTTCCACATATCCTTCCCTACACACCCCTCTCCTTGCCCCTCTCTCTCTTTGCCTTCCTGCCCGCAGGCCTGCTTGCGCTTTCCAGGCTGCCTGGTCAGCTGCTGTTTTCATACCTCACCCTGTTGTTGTAATTAAGTCTCTCCCCTCTCCTCGCCCTCGCCCTCCCTTTCCTACCCGCAGGCCTGCTCGCGCTTTGCAGGCTGTCTGGCCAACTACTGTGGGCCGAGCGGGTACTCCCCTGCACCTCTCTCCTCGCTCTTTCTCCCCAAGTTCTCCCCCCTTTCTCGCCCCCGCCTCTCCTACCTGCCTGCAGGCCTGCTCGCGCTTTGCAGGCTGTCTGGCCAACTACTGTGGGCCGAGCGGGTACTCCCCTGCACCTCTCTCCTCGCTCTTTCTCCCCAAGTTCTCCCCCCTTTCTCGCCCCCGCCTCTCCTACCTGCCTGCAGGCCTGCTCGCGCTTTGCAGGCTGTCTGGCCAACTACTGTGGGCCGAGCGGGTACTCCCCTGCACCTCTCTCCTCGCTCTTTCTCCCCAAGTTCTCCCCCCTTTCTCGCCCCCGCCTCTCCTACCTGCCTGCAGGCCTGCTCGCGCTTTGCAGGCTGTCTGGCCAACTACTGTGGGCCGAGCGGGTACTCCCCTGCACCTCTCTCCTCGCTCTTTCTCCCCAAGTTCTCCCCCCTTTCTCGCCCCCACCTCTCCTACCTGCCTGCAGGCCTGCTCGCGCTTTGCAGGCTGTCTGGCCAACTACTGTGGGCCGAGGGGGTACTCCCCTGCAGCCCTCTCCTCCCTCTTTGTCACCTGCGCCTCTGCCTGCAACGACAACCCCTCCCTGCCCTTTCTGCCGTTTAGCGACTTCACATGCGCTGAGGTAAGGGAGTTGAGGCGACTCACCTCATGGGTTGAGATGCATAAGCCACCTCGCTAGCAGGCCTTCTTGGTCCTCTCTTTGTCACATGCGCCTTCGCCTGCAACAAAAATTCCTCCCTGCCTTTCCTGCCTGCACATGCGCTGACGTGCGATGTAGAATGTACAGCTGTGACTGCAGTACACGTTCACTCGCTCGCTCACTCTATCACAATAGCACACTCATTCGCTCCCATTGCGTGCCCGTTCCCACTGCCACCATCCCATTGAGCCCTCCTTTGCTCATGTTGCCACGCCCCCTCAAATTCTAAGCCCTTCACCTCTGCCCCTGCCTCCATGCCCCTCTGCCCCTGTCACTATACCCCTCTGCATTGTCACTACTATGCCCCTCTACTCTGTGCTCCTCTCGCCACACAGATCATCAATGCCACTGCAGACAGCCTTGCAGGCTTTCAGTGCTCCTGTGAGCCTCCATGCTTCCTTCCCTTGCTTGCTCTCTCATCCTCTCTCTTCCAGCGTGCTTGTGCTCTCTCTCACTTTCCTCGCTTCCTTTCTTCTTGCTTGTGTTTGGCCCAAGACGGAAAAAAAAAAAAAAAAAAAAAAAACAAAACAAAACAAAACAAAACAAAACAAACAAAACAATCAAACAAACAAACAAAACCGTTTGAATGTGCATGAAGATTAAACAATCTTTGGCATCTTCTCGCTGCCACCCCTCTCCTCTTGTCTTCGCTCGTCTCGTTTCCTCTCCTCTCCTCTCCTCTCCCCTCCTCTCCCCTCCTGTCCTCCTCCATTCTCCCTTGTCTCCTCTCCTCATCTCCCCTTCTCTCCTCTACTCGTCTCCTCTCTCCCGTATCCTCTCCTCTACTCCCTTCTTGTCTCCTCTCCTCATCACTCTCGTGCTCTCCTCTTTTTTCCTCCGTTTCTTTCCCTGTCGTCGTGCCCCTCGTTGCTCTTTCAGATCCCCCCAATTCAACGCTCACCACAGGGGTAGGCAAACACCCTACAGGTTCCCCCTTCCCTAAATCCTCGCACTTATCCATAACCCTTCTCGCCTGCCCCTCCTGTCATCTCTCCTCTGCCTCTTTCTTCTTGTGTTGTGTTTTATCCATTTTGGCCCCCCTGCCCTTTTCTCAGCTGCCGTCACACCCTTGCCTCCTTTTTCTCCCTCTGCTTTTCTCCATCGTCTCCGCATCTCAAACCATCACATGAAGAACGGAAAACTCTCTCCTTCTGCCCTCACCAAAGTCTGCTCCTTGCTGTCTTTCACGTCATCCCTTCCCCTATGCTCCTGTTCTCACACCCCCCTTCTCATCCCTTTCACCCTTTCCACGCCCGTTCCTACCCATTCTCACACCTTCCCATTCTTCAGAGGAAAGCTCGGAGCCTCTGGGAGCGGGCAGCACAGGCTGTCAGCCGAACCTCTTCGTGGCACCAGGCTCGGCAGCAGGCTCGGCAGCAGGCTCGGCTCCAGGGCCGGAAACGCCTGGCAGAGGACACTGCTACTGCTGCTGTTGCCTCCTCGCTTGCTGCTTTGCCTGGTGGGTAAGAATGGATGAGGTTTGGCCCTTGTTTGAGGCGCCTTGGACATTTTGTACTTTGAAGCACCTAATAAGCGCACTAGTGTCGATTGTTTTTCCCATCACACCACCACTCCCTGCCCCTTCTCCAGGAACACCCACACCCACGAGTCTACGACTGCACCTCCTAGCCACCCCTTCCCCTCAACCCCTCCCCCATGCTCCTTCCCCCCCAGGCAACGCCACAAGCATCTGGACCCACCTCGGCTCCACCAACGCTCAGCGAATCACGAGCCTCCACGTGGCAGTCGCCCGAGCCATCTACACAGCTGTCAAGGACGATTGCCTCGTCGGCTCCCCCCTCTTCTCCCCCCGGGCCAACCCCTCCTCTCCCTCCTCTCCCTCCTCTCCCTCCTCTCCCCCCTCTCCTTCCCCTCCCCTCTCTCCTTCCTCTAGCTCCTCCTCTCGTCGCTCCACCCGCCCCTCCTCCCCCGCTATCCTCCCGCCTGTCATCCTCTCCCCGTCCTCTCGGTCCCGCCTCGCTGCCTTCCTCTGCGTGCTCTTTGCCGGGGAGGAAGCTGCTCGGAAAGTGCCCGAGTGCAAGTACATGTCATCGTGGGACGGGCGGCAGCTGGTGTCTGCTTCTGAGCTGGCGGCGGACGTGCCTTGGACTGTTGCGCTGTGAGTTGCCTGATTCGTAGGCTGACTCAGATTGCAAGACAGGTGTTGTGCTGCAAAGTGGTGTGATTGCATACTGTTTGCACCAATTTCATATTGCTTTCTCTCCCCTCACTTCTTTCCTCAATATGCCTGCACTGCACGTGCTCGCTGCTACTCCTTGCCTTCTCCCTACTACAACCTGCAATTGAACAACTATCTTGCACTTGCACGTCCCTCCCTCTCAAACCGTCTCACTCCGTTGCTCGCTCTCCCTCCTTTTCTCACTCCTTTTCTCGTTCCCTTCTTCAACTCACGGTGCTGTGCATACCCACTGCAGCAATCAGACGTACCACTTGTCTCGGGACCAGGCGGCGCGTTTCGTCCTTCTCCTCACCGCAGCGCTCAAGTCCGTCGTCCTGTTGCCGGACGATGACGTGGCAGATGCCGCCCGGTTGCTGCATGCACTCGACCCTGTGGTCGTGGACCCCTCCCTGCCTTCCTGCGGCACCACCGGTGAGTGTGGGGATGGGTTACGAACAGGTGGGGACGGGTACAGGTGAGGATGGACAGGTGGATGGGGACAGGGGATGATGGGTGAGGCGTCTCTTCATCTCCTGCTTCTCCCCTTTCCTCTTCCTCACCGTGCTGCATGCGCTCGACCCGGTTGTTGTGGACCCTGCCTTCCTGTGGCACCACTAGTGAGTGTGGGGATGGGAATGGGTGAGAAGTCACTGCATCACCTACTTCTCTCCACTCCTCGTCTTCACACGCCTGTGCCCTGTGTCATCTATGCCATGCCATGGTGCATCAGCCATGGGTCCCATGGTGATGAGGGGGACGAGCAGGCAGCCCAGCACGGTGGTGCCCACTCGCTTGTACGCCATGCCATGTGTCTCGTCTCATGTCTCTACCTTGTGTGCCATGCTATTCGTGTCATCATGCCATGCCATGCCATGCCATGCCCCACCACCAAGCACAGGCCCCACGGTGATGTGGGGGGCGAGCAGGCAGCCCAGCACGGTGGTGCCGGTGGGGGAGCGAGTCACATGGGTGTGGGCGGACGGACAGCCACATGCCATCAACGGTGGGTGCACCTACGTTTTCAATGCTGAATCACATGGCCATACTGTGTGTGTGTGGTGGGGTGGGGTGGGGGAGAGAGTCACGTGGGCGTGGGCGGACGGACAACCCCATGCTATTAACGGTAAGTGCTCCGGCTTTTGCAACGCTGAAAATGATGCTGTGATGGCGTGCCATGCAATGCCAAGCAATGCTGTGCTGGTGGGGGAGCTAGTCACATGGGTGAGCGGATGGACAGCCGCATGGCATCAACGGTGGGTGGGTGGGCATACAAGCTCTGAGTCTCATAGCCATGCTGTGTGTGGGCATCACAATGCAATGCAATGCCATGCGATGCTGGTGGGGGAGTGCGTCTGTCCTCCTCCTCTTCCCTCTCCTGCACTGCCAGCCCCGTAAACTCCTGCACTTTCTCCCCTCTCTCCTCCCACCACCTTCCTGTTCCGCACTCTGAGCATCGCTCCCATACCCTTTGATTCCTCTTCCCCCCTGCACCTCCTTTCCTTTCACCTGCCCCATTCAGTGGCGGGATTCGGGGATGCAGCGGCCACTCCTTTCTATGGCATGGGCAGTGGGCGGTTGGTGGTGAGTGCTGACGTGGCATGCAGTGCGGAGAACGTGGGGACCACGGCGACGCTCATCAACGGCTCACACGCCTCCACCGCCGATCCTGCGCCGTGTGTCCTGAGTGAGTTGTGGGGGACCTGCACACCTGTTCCCCCATGCACCCATGCTCACATGCACCTATGCTCGCATGCTCACATGCACCTATGCTCACATGCTCACATGCTCACATGCACCTATGCTCGCATGCTCACATGCTCCCATGCACCCATGCACCCATGCTCACATGCTCAAACGCTCCAATGCACCCATGCTCACATGCTGAAATGCTCACATGCTTCCATGGGCCATGTTTCTCGAGTGAGTTTGTGTCACATCTCAAAACCCACTTTCTTTTCCACATGGCCACTCGCAAACCTATTTTTTTCCACGGTTCACCCACCTCCTTCCCTTCTCCTTCCATTTCTCATCCCTCGCCTATTATCTCAGGTCCCAGCAGCAGCACTGCTGCCTCGTCCCCCCCCACCCCCTTCTCCTACACCACGGTCTTCCCTGTTCCCGGGACCTTCGTCTATGAGTGTTCACGCGTGGGGGAGCCTACGCGGGGCTCTGTCACCGTTCTCCCTCCCTCTTCCTCCTCTTCTGCCTCCTCCTCCTCCTCCTCCTCCTCTCATTCCCGTGCCGCCATTGGTCAGCCCAGCAAGCCAATAGAATGCGCCCCAGGCTGCCTCCTCTCCTCGCTAGCAGACGGAAAATGCAACCCACCTTGCAACGTCGACGCGTGTTCTTTTGATGGCGGGGACTGCTCATGCGCCCTGCCGGCCACGTCCATTCCCGAGCCTGCATCCGTAGCTTCAGGCTCGGTCCCAGGCTCGGGGTTAGGTCCGGTGGGATTCGTGGCCCGGCCGCAGTACTGCCCCTGTCCTCCGGGACAGGTTCGGTCGGACGAAGGAGGTGAGTGATAGGTTTTTGGTTGGTGATGGGCGGTGGGGGGAAGATGGGCGGTGGGTGGGTGATGATAGGTGGGGAAGATGGGCGATGGGTGGTGATAGGTTGGTGGGAAGTTTTGCGGCGCCTCACAAGTGGTCTGCTCTGCCCGCAGTACTGCCCCTGTCTGTCCTCACGGACAGGTTCGGTCGGACGAAGGAGGTGAGTGATATGGCGGCTGGTGGTGATGGGTGCTGGGCTCGGATGGGCAGTGGGAGGGGATGGGCACCAACTTTCCGCCACCAACTTGCACCCTTTTTCCGCACCAGACTCATTCCTCACCCTCCTTCCACTTCCCCCCCTCGATTGCATGGCCCCCCTCCACCCAGCATGCTGCATGACGTCAGCCATAGGGGATGGTCTCTCCTTCCCCTTCACCCTCGCCATGTTCTTCAATGCCACGTCAGCAGCGACGTCGGCTGGCAATGCCACGTCAGCAGCCACTTCTGGTGGCAATGCCACATCACCAGCCGCGTCTGCTGCCGTGGCGGCGGGCAATGCGACGTCAGCAAATGGGACCGAGGAGGTGGCGCTGTCTCGCTTTGTGGCGGAACAGAACAGGTGTGTGGGGGAGGGGGGAAAAGGGGGAAAGAAAGGGAGGGAAGATGAGGGAGGGGTTTGCAGCGTAACAGGTAGGTAGGTGGAGGGGAAGGGAGGGGAAATGGGGGAGGAGGGTGCACAACAGATGGTGTGGGAGGGAAGGGGAGAGGCGGCACAATGGAGCAGGTGGGAAGGGGTGGGGAGGGGGGCACAACCGAACAGGTGGAGAGGGTTGGAGGGGGAGGGGAAGGTGGGGAGGTGGGGCAACCGAGGGGGGTGGAGGGGTGTGGCAGCTGAGCAGGGGGGCAGAGAAATGAGTTGCTTGTGCGAGTTTGGACTCACAGAAGTGAGTTGTGGGTGCACCAGGGAAGAAGAGACAGGGATTGCTTGGTTGGATCTAGAGGGTAGAGTAGGTGGTGTTGTATTGATTTCTATCTATTAAGTCTTGCTCTTGTGTGTGCATGGCGCATGATGCATGGTGCATGTTGCATGGCGCATGATGCATGGTGCCTGGCATGTGGTGCATGGCATGGCATGTGGGGCATGGCAGGGTGCTGATAGGACTCAAAATCGAGCAGACCCGGTGGGACGCCGTAACCTGCCAGCCATACAGGTGAGCCGGACAATTATTCAGGCCAGCATGTCAACCGTACAGGTCAGCATGTCAACCGTACAGGTCAGCATGTCAGCCGTACAGGTCAGCAGGTCAACCGTACACAATGTCAACCATACAGGTCAGCAGGTCATCGTCCCCTCCCTCCTCCCTCCCCTTGCTTCCACTCCTCGCCATCCTTAATTCCGCTCTCCTCACCTCACGTCCACGTATTCACTTTGACACGTCTCAACTCTCCATCTGAGACTTGTCACTCCATCCTCTCTTTCCTCCCCACCCCCCAGGTTCTCCTCCCTCTTTCAGCACTGCATGAACGGCATATCCACCTGCTTGCACCTCATCCCAAACAACTCTCCCTCTCCGCACGCCCAAACCCCTCTCCCCACCCTCCCCAACCCCCAATTTCACCCCCCAGGTTCTCCTCCCTGTTCCAGCATTGCTTGAACGGCATATCCACCGCCCCCTTTGGCGTCAACCCGCACTTCCTGCCCTCCTCCTCGCTCTACCTGCCTGATGCCTACGTGGCGCTCAACGACTCGCTGGCCAGCGCTGACGTGGACACCATGCAGCCAATCGCGACGCGGCCCGACGGCGTGCCCTATGGCTTCCAAGTCGCCAAGGTGAGTGCCTCCTCTCGCCAGCCTCTCGCCAGCCTCTTCTCGGCAGATTGGCAAGAGTGTGTGTTTATGACACCCAGCAATCACAGTATCTGATCATATTCGACATCAGATTAACCAATGTGGGGCAGCATTAGCCCCTTCCTTCTTCCCTCCATTTTCGACCCTGCCAGAAGGTTGATATTTGACATCAACCTGGGCAATGAGGCGGCCGCGCGCACTGTTAGTCAAACGCCAACCTTGCATTTATCCCCCTGCCCCTCCCCTAACTCCATGCCAGGCGAGCGAGAAGGTATTCCCGGTGATTATCAACATCAACCTCGACAACGAGGCGGCTACGCGGCATCGGCAACCCTTCCCATCCCCCCTCCCTTCCCCTCCCCCCTCCCCCTCCCTCCCTCCCACCAGGCGAACGAGAAGGTGTTTCCCGTGATATTTGACATCAACCTCGACAATGTATACTAGGCGGCCACGCGCAATGTATACTGATATCAACCCTGCTTGTATCCACCTCCCATTCCCCTCCCTCCCACCAGGCGAACGAGAAGGTGTTTCCGGTGATATTTGACATCAATCTGGACAACGAGGCGGCCACACAGCGACTGCAGTATCTGGCGGACAGCTTCTTCATCGACAATGCCACGCAGTCTGTCTCCGTTGCCATGCTCACTTACAATGGTGCGTGTTTTAGGGTGCCGTGCCATGCTCACATTTTAATCATGGCATGCTCAGCGCTCCACAATAGCCTCACAGCGCTCCACAATAGCCTCACAGCGCTCCACAGTGCGGTGGCGTCTGCAGTATCTGGCGGACAGCTTCTTCATCAACAATGCCACGTAGTCCGTCTCTGTCGCCATGCTCACTTACAACGGTGAGTGTGTGTGTGTGTGTGTGTGTGTGCGTGCGTGTGTGTGTGTGTGTGTGTGTGTGCGTGTGTGTGTGTGTGTGTATGTGTGCGGTGTGTGTGAGTGTGCGGTGCGGTTCTTTATCAACAACGCCACTCAGTCCGTCTCCGTTGCTATGCTCACCTAGTCTGTCTCCGTTGACATGCTCACGTACAACGGTGAGTGCGTTTAAGATGGCTCGACATGCTCAATTTTCAGTGGTAGCATGCTCACGTACAACGGTGCGTGTGTGTTTGCATTGCCATGCCATGCGCACCCCTCATTAATAGCATTGCCTCTGCTCTCTCTCCTTCTCCTCCCTTTCCCTAATCCTGCAAGCCCTGCTCGCTCTTCCAGTCGCTCTTTTCCTTCCTCGTACAGTACCTTTTTTATTGACTCATCGGTTTCCTTCCCTTCCCTGGCACAGCACTTTCGGCATCGACCCTTTTCTTGTAATACCCCCTCTTGCACCACCCACCCATGCTGCAGGCGACTCAAGTCTGTTTGTGTACACCACCGTGCGACTCAACTTTGAGGTCAGTACGCAGCCTTCTCCGCTCTTGCTTGCTCCATGCACAGCCCCGTTGTTGCGGCTCCGCATCCTGCTCCGCTCGTGCTCCGCTCGTGCTCCATGCACAGCCCCGTTGTTACGGCTCCGCATCCTGCTCCGCATCCTGCTCCGCTCGTGCGCCATGCACAGCCCCGTTGTTGTGTGATGGCGCACTGTTATAAGCGGTGTGTGCCGATCTGTTGTTGTTGTTATAACAGCCCCGTTGTTGTTGTTGTATAAGCGGTGTGTGCCGATCTGTTGTTGTTGTTATAACAGCCCCGTTGTTGTTGTTGTATAAGCGGTGTGTGCCGATCTGTTGTTGTTGTTATAACAGCCCCGTTGTTGTTGTTGTATAAGCGGTGTGTGCCGATCTGTTGTTGTTGTTATAACAGCCCCGTTGTTGTTGTTGTATAAGCGGTGTGTGCCGATCTGTTTTACGTAACAACGCCACTAACGAAACGCTTTTCATAAAAAAGGTTACCTGAAGCTACCGTTCTTTACTTTCCAGCATATTGGGGGCAAGATAGCGGTGACATACAACGTGGACCCAGTAGACGTGGAGCTCTACTCGTCCACACTGACAGTGCCGAGTGGGTGCGGCTCACAGTGACAGTGTGCTCTGTGGTAGGCGCCTTAAACATGGTCTCACCCTCTCCCTGCCTGCCTGCTTCCCCACAGATCGGCGGCAAGATAGCAGTGACATACAATGTGGACCCGGTGGACGTGGAGCTCTACTCGTCCAATGACGGTGCTTTACGTGTGCACCGTGGTCTATTCTTGAGGCGCCTTAAAACTAGACTCCACCACTCCCTCCCCACAGATCGGGGGCAAGATAGCGGTGACATACAACGTGGACCCGGTGGACGTGGAGCTCTACTCGTCCCTCCGCATGTGTCCAGAGGTGACAGCTGAGTTCACCTGGTATCATTCTCTCTCTGCCTCCCTCCCCATCAGATCGGGGGCAAGATAGCGGTGACATACAACGTGGACCCAGTGGACGTGGAGCTCTACTCTTCCAGTGCCGACTGGGTGCGCCTGACAGTGTCGGTGCTGTATGTGTGCGCTGTGGTGTGGAACCTCATAGAGGAGCTCGTGGAGGCGTTTCAATGCTGGCTGGAGACGGGCAGGGTGAGTGAGCACACGCTGCTAGCTACTGTGCTGGTTAAGGCTGGGCTGGGCCTGAAAGTGCTTGTCGTTTTTCTAGGCGTCTCACAAATAGGCTGGGCCTGAAGGTTGGGCTGGGAAGTTCCGTCACTTACATCTTGCATTGCACTGCACTCCCGTGTGTTCGCCTTGAATGCCGTTCCTTCTCCCTTACGCCACCGTGCTTTCTTCCCCTTCCCTCCCTTCCGCCTCCCTTCCCCGCATCACCTCAGATCACATCGTACTTCCAAACGCTGTGGAACTGGCTGGATGTGCTCTCCCTCACAATCCAATTCATCGGCATTATCATGTGGTGAGTGAGTGGGGTGCTATTCTCCCCCGACTTCACTCCCCCGACTTGATTGACTCGGTCGGGCAAAAAAACAAAGATTGTCACACATTAATGTCGATCAAAATTGAATTGAAACGAGCTTCTCTCTTTACTAACGACTCCTTCAAAGTGTTTCGAGGCATCTCAAGGCATCTCAAGGCGTCTCAACTCATTCCATCTCATCGCACCTCATCTCTCTCATCTCAATCCTCACGTCGTCCCTCCCTTTTCCCCCCTTCCCTCCCCAGGTTCATCATATCAGTGCAGCTGGCCGGTGGCTTCCAGGTGCAGCCTCGTTACGACATCTACGTTGCAGGGGACTCGCCCTTTGTCTGGCAGGTAGGTCTTTCTATTAGAGTGTGCCTAGCCGGGCGGGTTGACACACCATGTGCCGTGGTGGGTTGGGTTGTATGCATGCATGCATACAGTGATGCGTGCATACAGTGATGCGTGCATGTATACTTGTATCATGTGTGAGCGTCCGGCTCCTTCCAGGTGCAGCCTCGCCCAGTCAACATACTGCTGCACCCCCCACGCAACCCTTCTCTCTCCTCCCTCTTTCGAGTCGACTCAAAAGTCAACCAGTCAACATACTGCACCTCCCACGCAACCCTTCTCTCTCCTCCCTCTTTCGAGTCGACTCAAAAGTCACCCAGTCAACATACTGCACCTCCCACGCAACCCTTCTCTCTCCTCCCTCTTTCGAGTCGACTCAAAAGTCACCCAGTCAACATACTGCACCTCCCACGCAACCCTTCTCTCTCCTCCCTCTTTCGAGTCGACTCAAAAGTCACCCAGTCAACATACTGCACCTCCCACGCAACCCTTCTCTCTCCTCCCTCTTTCGAGTCGACTCAAAAGTCACCCAGTCAACATACTGCACCCCCCACGCAACCCTTCTCTCTCCTCCCTCTTTCGAGTCGACTCAAAAGTCACCCAGTCAACATACTGCACCCCCCACGCAACCCTTCTCTCTCCTCCCTCTTTCGAGTCGACTCAAAAGTCACCCAGTCAACATACTGCACCCCCCACGCAACCCTTCTCTCTCCTCCCTCTTTCGAGTCGACTCAAAAGTCAACCAGTCAACATACTGCACCTCCCACGCAACCCTTCTCTCTCCTCCCTCTTTCGAGTCGACTCAAAAGTCACCCAGTCAACATACTGCACCTCCCACGCAACCCTTCTCTCTCCTCCCTCTTTCGAGTCGACTCAAAAGTCACCCAGTCAACATACTGCACCCCCCACGCAACCCTTCTCTCTCCTCCCTCTTTCGAGTCGACTCAAAAGCCACCCAGTCAACATACTGCACCCCCCACGCAACCCTTCTCTCTCCTCCCTCTTTCGAGTCGACTCAAAAGTCACCCAGTCAACATACTGCGCCCCCCACACAACCCTTCTCTCTCCTCCCTCTTTCGAGTCGACTCAAAAGTCACCCAGTCAACATACTGCACCCCCCACGCAACCCTTCTCTCTCCTCCCTCTTTCGAGTCGACTCAAAAGTCACCCAGTCAACATACTGCACCTCCCACGCAACCCTTCTCTCTCCTCCCTCTTTCGAGTCGACTCAAAAGTCACCCAGTCAACATACTGCACCCCCCACGCAACCCTTCTCTCTCCTCCCTCTTTCGAGTCGACTCAAAAGTCACCCAGTCAACATACTGCACCCCCCACACAACCCTTCTCTCTCCTCCCTCTTTCGAGTCGACTCAAAAGTCACCCAGTCAACATACTGCACCTCCCACGCAACCCTTCTCTCTCCTCCCTCTTTCGAGTCGACTCAAAAGTCACCCAGTCAACGTACTGCACCCCCCACGCAACCCTTCTCTCTCCTCCCTCTTTCGAGTCGACTCAAAAGTCACCCAGTCAACATACTGCACCTCCCACGCAACCCTTCTCTCTCCTCCCTCTTTCGAGTCGACTCAAAAGTCACCCAGTCAACATACTGCACCCCCCACGCAACCCTTCTCTCTCCTCCCTCTTTCGAGTCGACTCAAAAGTCACCCAGTCAACATACTGCACCCCCCACGCAACCCTTCTCTCTCCTCCCTCTTTCGAGTCGACTCAAAAGTCACCCAGTCAACATACTGCACCCCCCACGCAACCCTTCTCTCTCCTCCCTCTTTCGAGTCGACTCAAAAGTCACCCAGTCAACATACTGCACCTCCCACGCAACCCTTCTCTCTCCTCCCTCTTTCGAGTCGACTCAAAAGTCACCCAGTCAACATACTGCACCTCCCACGCAACCCTTCTCTCTCCTCCCTCTTTCGAGTCGACTCAAAAGTCACCCAGTCAACATACTGCACCCCCCACGCAACCCTTCTCTCTCCTCCCTCTTTCGAGTCGACTCAAAAGTCACCCAGTCAACATACTGCACCTCCCACGCAACCCTTCTCTCTCCTCCCTCTTTCGAGTCGACTCAAAAGTCACCCAGTCAACATACTGCACCTCCCACGCAACCCTTCTCTCTCCTCCCTCTTTCGAGTCGACTCAAAAGTCACCCAGTCAACATACTGCACCTCCCACGCAACCCTTCTCTCTCCTCCCTCTTTCGAGTCGACTCAAAAGTCACCCAGTCAACATACTGCACTGCACCCCCCACGCAACCCTTCTCTCTCCTCCCTCTTTCGAGTCGACTCAAAAGTCACCCAGTCAACATACTGCACCCCCCACGCAACCCTTCTCTCTCCTCCCTCTTTCGAGTCGACTCAAAAGTCACCCAGTCAACATACTGCACCCCCCACGCAACCCTTCTCTCTTCTCCCTCTTTCGAGTCGACTCAAAAGTCACCCAGTCAACATACTGCACCCCCCACGCAACCCTTCTCTCTCCTCCCTCTTTCGAGTCGACTCAAAATTCACCCAGTCAACATACTGCACCCCCCACGCAACCCTTCTCTCTCCTCCCTCTTTCGAGTCGACTCAAAAGTCACCCAGTCAACATACTGCACCCCCCACGCAACCCTTCTCTCTCCTCCCTCTTTCGAGTCGACTCAAAAGTCACCCAGTCAACATACTGCACCCCCCACGCAACCCTTCTCTCTCCTCCCTCTTTCGAGTCGACTCAAAAGTCACCCAGTCAACATACTGCACCCCCCACGCGACCCTTCTCTCTCCTCCCTCTTTCGAGTCGACTCAAAAGTCACCCAGTCAACATACTGCACCTCCCACGCAACCCTTCTCTCTCCTCCCTCATTCGAGTCGACTCAAAAGTCACCCAGTCAACATACTGCACCTCTCACGCAACCCTTCTCTCTCCTCCCTCTTTCGAGTCGACTCAAAAGTCACCCAGTCAACATACTGCACCTCCCACGCAACCCTTCTCTCTCCTCCCTCTTTCGAGTCGACTCAAAAGTCACCCAGTCAACATACTGCACCCCCCACGCAACCCTTCTCTCTCCTCCCTCTTTCGAGTCGACTCAAAAGTCACCCAGTCAACATACTGCACCCCCCACACAACCCTTCTCTCTCCTCCCTCTTTCGAGTCGACTCAAAAGTCACCCAGTCAACATACTGCACCTCCCACGCAACCCTTCTCTCTCCTCCCTCTTTCGAGTCGACTCAAAAGTCACCCAGTCAACATACTGCACCCCCCACGCAACCCTTCTCTCTCCTCCCTCTTTCGAGTCGACTCAAAAGTCACCCAGTCAACATACTGCACCTCCCACGCAACCCTTCTCTCTCCTCCCTCTTTCGAGTCGACTCAAAAGTCACCCAGTCAACATACTGCACCCCCCACGCAACCCTTCTCTCTCCTCCCTCTTTCGAGTCGACTCAAAAGTCACCCAGTCAACATACTGCACCTCCCACACAACCCTTCTCTCTCCTCCCTCTTTCGAGTCGACTCAAAAGTCACCCAGTCAACATACTGCACCCCCCACACAACCCTTCTCTCTCCTCCCTCTTTCGAGTCGACTCAAAAGTCACCCAGTCAACATACTGCACCCCCCACGCAACCCTTCTCTCTCCTCCCTCTTTCGAGTCGACTCAAAAGTCACCCAGTCAACATACTGCACCCCCCACGCAACCCTTCTCTCTCCTCCCTCTTTCGAGTCGACTCAAAAGTCACCCAGTCAACATACTGCACCTCCCACGCAACCCTTCTCTCTCCTCCCTCTTTCGAGTCGACTCAAAAGTCACCCAGTCAACATACTGCACCCCCCACGCAACCCTTCTCTCTCCTCCCTCTTTCGATTCGACTCAAAAGTCACCCAGTCAACATACTGCACCTCCCACGCAACCCTTCTCTCTCCTCCCTCTTTCGAGTCGACTCAAAAGTCACCCAGTCAACATACTGCACCCCCCACGCAACCCTTCTCTCTCCTCCCTCTTTCGAGTCGACTCAAAAGTCACCCAGTCAACATACTGCACCTCCCACGCAACCCTTCTCTCTCCTCCCTCTTTCACACCTCCCCCGTTCTCCCCTCTCTCCCAACAGCTGCAGTACCCCCCAGTGGGCTACGAGCAGGCGCAGGGAGTATATGACTCTGTGAGGAACCTTGTGCAGTGGCGCTCCATTCTCGTGTCACTGCAGGGAATCAAGTGAGTCTTGACTTCGTGTCAATAGGGAGCTTGCAGGTCGTTTTTTTAGAAATTTCAGAAACAGCTTGATCCATACTTGACCCCTCAGCGTCTTCCTTTTCCTGCTGCGTCTGCTCAGGCTAATCGACTTCCTTCCAGCAGCGCATAGCCACCCTCATTCACCGTTCCCTCCCTCATGCATGCTCACTCACTCTCCCATCCTTCATCCCAACCTTTGCCCCTTTTCCCCAGCGTCGTCCTCTTCCTGCTGCGCCTGCTCAAGCTCATGGACTTCCAGCCGCGCATTGCCATCCTCTAACTTCCTGCTGTCCTGTCGCCTGTCTCCTTACTCCCACTCAATTCCCCCAATGCACACCCGCCCCTCCCTCAGCGTCTTCCTCTTCCTGCTGCGCCTCCTCAAGCTAATGGACTTCCAGCCGCGCATCGCCGTCCCGTCCTCTCACCTCCTGCTTTCCCTTTCCTCTCTCCCTTTTCTCCCATCTCTCCCCGACCCACTCCCAGCGTCTTCCTCTTCCTGCTGCGCCTGCTCAAGCTCATGGACTTCCAGCCGCGCATCGCCATCCTCACGCGAACCATGGCAGCCGCCTTCCCCGCCCTCGTGCATTTCTTCCTGCTCTGGGCCATCATGTTCATCGGCTTCTCTCTTTATGCATACGTGGTGTTCGGTCGGACGCTAGAGCAGGTAAGGTGCTGTGTTGGACAGAGAGTGGTGCTGGCAGTGCAGTGCAGCAGGTGTGTGGAGGTGCCTTCCCCGCCCTCGTGCATTTCTTCCTGCTCTGGGCCATCATGTTCATCGGCTTCTCCCTTTACGCATACGTGGTCTTTGGTCGAACCTTGGAGCAGGTATAGAGCGGTGCCAGCCGGTACCATTGGGTTGGCAGGTGCAGTGCAGCAGGTGTGTGGAGGTGCCTTCCCCGCCCTCGTGCATTTCTTCCTGCTCTGGGCCATCATGTTCATCGGCTTCTCCCTCTACGCCTACGTCGTGTTGGGTCGAACGCTCGAGCAGGCAGGTACGTGTTGCTTGCTGGGCATAGAGAGGTGCTAGCAGGTTTGGCAGGTGCAACAGGTGGGGTCCCCCCGCCCTCCGCCTTCCCCGCCCTCGTGCATTTCTTCCTGCTCTGGGCCATCATGTTCATCGGCTTCTCACTCTACGCCTACGTCGTGCTCGGCCGAACTCTGGAGCAGGTATGGAGCTGACATGGGATGGTTCAGCGTGGTTCATGCTTACAATGGAGCAGGAGAGCAGCGCTGGCCCATTCCATCGCCTTCCCCCACTACACACACCTACATGGTGGACACCACCGTGGGGTATGGAGCTCACATGGTATGGTACAGCGTGGTTCATGCTTGCTCTGCAGCAGGTGGGTGCAGTGCAGTGCAGTGCAGTGCAGTGCAGTGCAGTGCAGCAGGTGTTCGGCCAAACTCTGGAGCAGGTATGGAGCTGGCATGGTATGGTACAGCGTGGTTCATGCTTACAATGGAGCGCAGCGGTGGTGTCCCACCATGTAGGTGTAGCGGGAGACGCCGATGGAATGGGCCAACGCTGGTCTCCTGCGTCCTCATCAACGACAGCGCCACTGGCTACTACTTCAGCCCTCATCCTCGTATCTGCAAAGAGCGCGCCTTTCTTGTCTTTCACCCCTCTCTCCCCTCAACAGTTGAGCACAGTGGTCATGTCCACGGCCTCCTCGCACTACCTACCTACAACACCAGTCTCGCCCCCATTCTTCCCCATTTCCCTGTGTGCTTTTGTGGCGCCTCAAAAGTACACCAGTCTGGCCCCCATTCTTCCCCATTGCCCTGTGTGCTCCCCCCTTCCCTCTCTCCCTTCCCAACAGTTGAGCACAGTGGCCGTGTCGATGGTCTCCTGCTTCCTCATCCTCAGCAACGATAACAGCACGGCTGGCCACTCCTCCATTCCTCGTCTTCTTATGTCCACATCCAACCCATTCTTCCCCATACACCCCTCTCTCCCCTCTCTCCTAACAGTTCAGCACAGTGGCCATGTCGATGGTGTCGTGTTTGCTCATCCTCATTAGCAACAACAGCACCGGGGGGTACTACTTCATTCAGCTGGAGGGGTGGAACCTCACGGAGCTCTGGGTACTACTTCATCCCTCTTCTTATGTCGGAAACCAACCCATTCTTCCCCCCCTTCACCCCCCCTTCTTTCCCTCCCACAGTTCAGCACAGTCGCCATGTCCATGGTATCATGCTTCCTCATTCTCATCAACGACAACAGCACCGGCTACTACTTCATACAGCTGGAGGGGTGGAACCTCACAGCAGCCATCATCTTCTGGGTCGCCTACATCAGCGTGATGGTCTTCGTCATGCTGAACGTGCTCATCGCTATCGTGGTTGACGCGTTTTTGGAAGTCCGGGTACGTGTCATCACAGCAGCAGGTCAGACGGCGCATGCATGCCTGCCACCTCACTCACAGCAGCAATCATCTTCTGGGTGGCCTACATCAGCGTCATGGTGTTTGTCATGCTCGACGTGCTCATTGCCATTGTGGTCGACGCGTTCCTGGAAGTCAGGGTACGTAACCTGATCATGTTGTTTGGATTCAACCTCCCCACTTTCTCTCATCTTCTGGGTCGCCTACATCAGCGTCATGGTGTTTGTCATGCTGAACGTGCTCATTGCCATTGTCGTCGACGCCTTTCTGGAAGTCAGGGTACGTGCTATCACAGCAGAGAGGCACAGATGGGTAGAGTAGAGTGCATTCAAGTCAAGGTATGTGATCGTCATGCTAAACGTGTCGTCGATGTCGATGCGTTTTTGCTAGTCAGGGTGTGTGCCGTTTCGTCACGGTCGGCGCTTTCTTCGAAATCCGGGGTAAGTCAGGGTAAGCTCAGTGGGTTTCAATCCAACCTCCTCATTCTGCAGGTCAGAGTACCTGCATTAATCTTCCACCTCCCCATTCCTGGAAGTCAGGGTACGTCACACGGTCATATTTTTTTAGTCGCCTCAAGAACAGTACGTGACTTGTTGTCATCGCTCCTTCATTCAGCCTTCCCACGTGATCGCGTCTTCTGGTCTGGATAGCCTACTTCCTCTGTGATCAGTGCCAGTACGTGACTTCCTCTGTGACCATTGGCATGAGTTTTGAGACGAGCCTACTTCCTCTGTGACCATTGGCATGTTATCGCTACTCCCTCTGCCCATGCACTGCCTTTTCCCTTGCGTCTACTCCCTTCTTTCCTTTCTTTCCCTCCTTGCCATCTTCCTCCCCTCCCTGCTCCCCCTCCTCCCGTCCACCCAGAATTCCACAGATGAGTCACCAGCATTCCCGGTGGACATGTGGTATGTCATGCGCAACGTGCTGCTGCTCCTCTCAACGGACTACTGGAGAGTGGAGTGGCATTCAGCCCTCTCACTTGCCTTCAGCTTGCCTGTGCCCTTGTTTCTCTCTCCCCCCCTCCCAGAAATCCACAGAGGAATCACCAGCATTCCCAGTGGACATGTGGTATGTGCTGCGCAACGTGCTGCTGCGCCTCTCAACAGACTACTGGAAGCCGGGAAGGCTGCAGCGGCACCTGCTCATGCTGGGGGCAGAGGACGTTGACGTCACGGTGAGAGTGGGATAAACTCTTCTTTCTTTCTTTGGTGGACTCACAACGCACACACGTGCTGTGCTGCGCCGCCTCTCAACAGACTACTGGAATCCGTGAAGGCTGCAGCGGCACCTGCTCATGCTGGGGGCTGAGGACGGCTATGTAACGGTGAGAGCAGGATAAACTCTTCTTTCTTTGGTGGGGCTTTAAGGCATCTCAGCAGGCGTCTGAGTGGACTCACAAGGAACACACTTGCTGCTGCGCCTGTCCACGGATTACTGGAATCTCCGAAAAGGCTGCAGCGCCACCTGCTTATGCTGGGGGTTGAGGACGGCTATGTAACGGTGGTGTGCGTTGGTTTTTGCAATGTGGACAGGACAGTCTCTGCTCTGGTATGAGTGCTCTGGTAGGGCTTCAATCGGGCCAACCGCTGCTACGTTTTCATCTTTTCCCTCTTCCTCTTCCCCCTCCCCCCCTCTCTCCTCCTTCACAGCTAGAGGATTCCGTAATGGCCAAGTCAGTGGCGGCGCTCAAAGAGGGCTGGAATCGAGTCAACCGCTGCTGCCTTTCAGCCTTTCCTTCCTTCCCTCCCTCTCTCCTTCCGTTTCTCCTCCCTGTCTCTCACTCTTTCCTCCCGGCCTCCCCCCACAGCTGGAGGATTCAGTGGTGGCCAAGTCAGTGGCAGCTCTCAAGGAGGGCTGGAATCGAGTCAGCCGCTGCTGCAGAGGCCTGGGGCGGAGCAAGCCACGGCCGCGCAGGGTGTTGCGCGTGGGCAAGCGGTGCTTGAATGCCGACGCGCTGCTGGGGGTGCTGGAGCGCTGTGCTGCCAACAGACCTCCTGGGAGTGACTCCGTGCGCGGAGGAGGTTTCAGCTTCAAGCGACAGGTGGGCTGGCTGCTTGCTCCCACTCCCTTTCACAGTTAATCTGCTTGAATGCCGACGCGCTGTTGGGTGTGCTGGAGCGCTGCGCTGCCAACAGGCCTCCTGGCAGTGACTCCGTGCGGGGCGGAGGCTTCAGCTTCAAGCGACAGGTGGGCTGAAAGGTTGCTTTCAATTCCTGCCACTGTCAACTTACTCGAATGGTGACGCCCTGCTGGGGGTGCTGGAGCGCTGTGCTGCCAACAGACCTCCTGGCAGTGACTTCGTGCAAGGAGGCTTCAGCTTCAAGCGACAGGTGGGCTGCGTCCCTCCCACATCTGAGTTGCTTTCTTGAACTCTCATCCTGAAACGACAGGTGAGCTGGCTCGTTGAACTCACTTGGGTTGGAGCAACAGGTGGGCTTGCTGATAAGGTAATCGGTTGACCACGTAACCGCATCCTCTTCCTCATCTCTTACCTCTCTGCCTCCCTCCTCCCGCTCCCCTTCAGACCGACCCCGACCCTACCATTGAGGTTCGGCCCATAGCTAACGTCATCTTGGCTCAGTTTGGAGAGGTGCTAGAGGGGATGTCAGCCCCGGTGGCACCACTCAGAGACCATGAGCAGCAGCAGCTGGAGGAGGAGGAGGAGCACAGAAAACTCAAAGAAGCACTCACTAAGGTGTCTAGAGACGCTGCTATGACAGCGGAGGGACTAGAAGTGCTCAAGGGGGAGGTGCAGCTGCAGAGGAGGGCAGTGAGGCGGCTGCAGAAGCAGGTGGTACAGCAGGATATGAGAGCGATTGAGCAGGCGAGCGCGCTGCACCAGCAGTTGCTGCTGCAGCAAGAACTAATTCTGCGTCTGTTGAATTCCCAGAGCGACTCGGACGCTGCTTGAGACACTGTGGTGGGCTACGGTAAGTCAATTTAACAGCTTGTAGAGCAGGTAGGGGGAGGATGTCTCTTGATAGCTGCTGCAGCAGGAGCTCAATACGTGTCTGCTCAACTCCAAGAGCGAGTCAGATGTAGCTTTATTCAGTTTTGTCCAGGTTTATAAGTTCTGTTGTGTTCAGAGAGAGGTAGCTCCTGGCCATTGAACGCACAGAGCGGCTCTGTTTTTGCATAAGATCCCCTGGCAGAGGCCTGCAGTTGTGCTTGCCAATGTGATGTGATGTGAGCGTTTAGCCTATGAAGTCGTTGCCACGTGGTACGAAGTCTACAAGGACCCGTGCTCCTGCACACCTCTCGCCAGCCATACAGGATGTCTATCAGGCTAATATTATGGTACTGGTACCGTATTCTGTGCTATGGTCCTGCCTTTGCGTATGCTGGAAGCTTTGTTATAGATTAGAATCAAGCACCATGTACTACAAAACAATGAGGGCGCATTCCTGCATTTGTGTGAATCCCTTCTGCCAGGGACGGACACAAAGTCAGGAATATGTCCAGAAAAGGCAAGCAAATACCTAAGAGGAAGTATGACAGTGAGGAGGAGCCTATGGTTAACACCTAAGAGGAAGTATGACACTGAGGAGCCTAAGGAGAGATGCTGGGTGTACTCTGCTGCTAGTGCTCCTTTCACAGTGAGACGCTGGGAGTACACTGCTCGTTGTACTTCTTAGCGGAAAACGGGTCCAGCTGCATCGTGCATTCCACATGCACCATAACGCGCGGCGACGAGATGCCCCAGTATTTCACGCGCGCTGCAGTGCCAACCACCACCCGCATTTCCGCGCGCCCATGCAGCAGCGGCGTCGTCAGCAGGCTCGCGGGACTCAGTGTCGCCAGGGGCGCGTCGACAATATCAAGGGGGACAGTCAACTCCGCGCTCCCGCCCTTGGTCATGCCCAAAACGCCAGGGAGGGTCACATTCGCAACATGCATGTCGAAGAATTTCACGTCGATGCTGATGTCTTCCGCTTCCACGTCCCAGTTGTTGGGGTTATACACAAGCGCGGTAACGTTTATTACCGCGGATAGGCCAAGGCGGAAGTTTTCGAGGCCCAGGAAGCCGCCGCCGGATTTTGTGATGCCGACGCGGAGGATGTTGATTTGCTCGACCTTCACCTCCGGTTGTTGCTTCGAGACTGTCAGGTATGCGACGAGGCCTGCGACGCCTAAACCGACGATAACGACGGCGAGGACGATGAGCGACCAGCAGGCGACGCGGCAGCAGCAATTCCGGCGACGACGGCTATGGCGGTCCTTCTCGCCCTTGCGAAGCTGCTCTACTTCGTCTGCAGTGCTGGTTACTTCCTTGGGGTTGGCGATGTGCAGATCGGAAGGGTAAACCGCGGTGAACTCTCCCGGAATTTCCTCATCCGCGCTGCCACTTGTGGAAGCTGCGTTCCTCGCAAGCGGAGGCGCGCAGCAAAATAGGGGAAGAGACTTTTGGAGAGGCGACGAGGAAACGGGGAGCGATGCGTCTGAAGCTGAGAAAGTGGCTGCTCCTGATTCAATATCGCCGTCAGATGCGAGCTGTTGCGTCGACTTCGAAATCCGTGAACAATCGTTGACGAGAGCCATTGCTTGAATTCTTGTGGGGTTGGGGATGGTTGACGTAAGTTGGTTGAGTCTAGTTGGGGGTGGCCGAATTGGAAATTGGAGTTGCTTCGAATTGGTCTGTATGCAATGAGCTTGCTCTCGCGCATTTATCGTGCAAATGGGGGCGAGAAATGTCGAAGTTCCGTGCCTCCCCCACCCCCGCGCTCCAGCCACCCTGGGCATACCCTGTACCGAGTCGCGCCCAGGGTACTGTGATAGCGGTCCGCTGTGCGCGGTTAGGCAAAGGAAATGGCGGAACCGAAGTTTCTTCCCCACTTTGTGATCGGGGATACGGACAAACGAACCAGACGAACCAGCCAACACGGCTCGGTGAGTCTCCCTTCGCTAGCCCCGTATTTCCAACCAGCCTAGCCTAGGCCTTAGGAATGACTCATCACAAATCAAACCGGGACTAGTCAAAAGGTGCTGGCTCGTTGAAAAACATGAAACAATCTTACTCCCGATGTAAGTGTGTGATTCCACTTCACTATGTGTAACTAGAGTAAGTTTAGCCAGCGTTTACCCGGACTGGGTGGCACGCACCCCACACCATTTTATGTAAGAGTTGTTTAAAACGGAAGATGATTTGGGTGGAACAAGCTGGCCCATGGCTGAATGATTTGGAGCATTGATCAACTATGGTCATACCAGACCAAGCTCTAGGGACGTGGCACCATTCTACGTCTCGTAGCTTATAAATTCAGTTACAGGTTCATCAAGCTGAGCCTCCCTAACAGGTCTCTCCTGGCAACACGCAACACTTTGCCGAGACACGGCTACTGTGCTACCTCTAGTCTAGGTACCTGCAGAACCATAAGGGGGCAAGCATTTTCCCCACCTCTGCTGCAGCACCCACCCACACCTGCTGTCTTGCCCAGACAACAGGTACCTGTCACGACTGAAAGTCATCTTCAACAAGCCGCATGGCTTCCAGTCCATCGGTATGCATGCACCATATAAACAGCCCGCCGACCTACCGGTATTTGCCTGAGAACACACATGTGAAGCGCCCTAATACACCCCCCCCCATCAACCTCCCCACCCCACCCGCCCACCCCCCCACTAGCTAATATCTATCCCGCGATGATGGGATGTCACGTAGCAACGAAATCGGCAGCTTGGAAAACGCGCCCCCGCCGCCGCCCCTCTCAGTGTCGCTCTCGCCTCTCGACGCCGGCTCAGGCACTGCCCTGCCGCCGCTACTGCTGCGCCGGCTGCCTGAGGAGGACCGCTCGCGCTCGCCCCCGCCACTGCTGCTGCGGCCAAATGCACTGCTGAAGCCACGGGTGAGGGGTGAGGTGCTCCTGGGAGATCTCTGTCCGGCTGGTGAGGGGTGAAAAAGAAGGGTAGGAAGAAGAGAAGAGATAACATAAGAGGGTCCACAAGCTGAACGCACTGCTGAAGCCACAAGTGAGGGGCGATGTGCTTCTTAGGGATCTCTGGCGTTGGTGGGGTTAGAAGAGGGGGGGTGGAGAAAGGAGGGGAGGGAGAGGAAGGGGGAGTTTTAAGAGGAGGCGAGAGGCACTGCTGAAGCCACGAGTGAGCGGAGAGGTGCTTCAGGGGGGGGCTCTGGCCGGATGGTGGGAGTGGAAGGGTGGTGAAGTAACAGTAGTGGTTCTACAGCAAACATGCAAAATCACAAAGGACCTGTTCGTGCATGTGGGCCATGTGGTGCATGTGGGCCATGTGGGGCATGTGGGCCATGTGGTGCATGTGGGCCATGTGGGGCATGTGGGCCATGTGGTGCATGTGGGCCATGTGGGGCATGTGGGCCATGTGGTGCATGTGGGCCATGTGGGGCATTGGGCCATGTGGGGCATTGGGCCATGTGGGGCATTGGGCCATGTGGGGCATTGGGCCATGTGGGGCATGTGGGCATGTGGGGCATGTGGGCATGTGGGCATGTGGGGCATTGGGACGTGTGGGGCATTGGGCCATGTGGGGCGTACCAGAGGGGCTCGAGCTGCGGGCAGTGGCGCGAGAGAGCAGCCCACCCCCCGATGATGACGATGTGCCTGTGGCGCCTGACTTGACCTGCGCCTGAGGGGTGCACACACAGACATCACGCACGCACAGGCATCACGCACATGGACACATGCATACACATGGAGTATTTTGAGTCGACTCAAACGTCACCCCCTAATGAGGATGATGTGCCTGTGGCGCCTGATTTGACCTGCGCCTAAGGGATGCAAGACACACAAACATCATGCACATGGACGAATGCATACACATGTATTACTCTCAGTCGATGCAAATGTCATGTCCTGATGATTATGGTGTCAACCTTTCCCTTCCATTCGTCACACAGACATCACACACGCCCATTGTCAGTAAATGTCAACCTCTCCCTTTCTCTCAGGCTTAGGATTCCTTGGACCTTTTCTAGACGAGCCCAACCTGGGCTGCACACTAGAACGGACACAGACAACCATGGCCGTGTGGACAACCATGGGTCGTGGGCAGATAGAGACCCTGGTCAAATGTGGACGCGCATTTGACCACGCGGGGGCGCACCTTGAGAGTGAAGTATGCGTCGATCAGCTCGTGCAGGAGCGGCCGTGTGGCACCGCCAGGTGTCATGATGGCATTGGACGACGGCAGGCCGAGTTCGTCCTCTAGCTTTGGTCGGCGCGGGTATACCGGCGGCTGGGGATTCGCAAGGGAGAACGGAAATTGGTTTAGTGAACAAAGATTCAATCAGACGCTTGCTTTCAATTTCGATCCAAGTCCACTCACCCACAGTCGGCCTTCCACAACGCTGTTAATTTCCGTTCCTACAACGGTTACTTCTCTAACAAATGCTGACCATATGGCTAATTACCATACCTCTTAACGTGGGTTACCTCTAACGCGGATGCTGACCATACACGCCATGGCTAGCCTACCACAGTACATGCCATTGCTGTCCGCTGCACACTATGCAGATACTCACGGTACACACAGTTTGACTTCCTATGCTTCGTTCTGTGCTCCTATTAGCCAAACGTGAGATGGCCGTAGAGCATATTCACCAGGTTACACTCCTAAAGGTACACTTGGACCGTACGTACCAAGTTACATCCCAAGAGGTACGTCGACCGTACGTGCCAGGTTACATCCCGAGAGGTTCACGTCGACCGTACGTACCAGGTTACACTCCGAGAGGTACACTTTAAGGGTATGGTCCATCTCCCCCCACTCCAGGTACTCGCACAGCAGCGCCGTGAGCAGATGACCTGGCACGACGTGAACCATTAACCACGAAACAAAGTTACAGGGAGGAACATGTTACATCGAAACACGACGGCTGGAAAAAACAAGTATTACCTATGCATGTTACGGTGAAGCATGAATTACACGAACAACGGATGGGTCAACGCGCAGAGAGTCACCAGCAGCCATGCTACCACGGAAGCTCGATCGTACGCTCAATTTCGTTTTTTCCCGTGCTGATTCTCATCAGCTCACCCGTTTTGGAGTCGTGCAGGTTCTTCGCCTGCTCGCTGCACCCGCCTCTCACGGCGCGTTGCTCGTCGCCGCTCGCCGTCTTGTCCTTGTCGTCTATCACCTCGAATATGCTCGCTCGCAGCTCCGCCTGCCAAAAATAGCAACGACCCACGAGCCACAAGACAAGGGCCACGAGACAATAGACACGAGATGTTTTTGAGTCGCCTCAGAAGTTGCCGTCTTGTCCTTGTCGTCGATTACCTCGAAATGCTCGCTCGCAGCTCCACCTGCTACCACGAGTCAAGAGCCAGTAGACAACAGACTCGAAACTTGAGAGCTTGACAGTTGATAATGCGAGATTAAGACACGAGTCATGAGCCGCGAGCCTCGATAATCCTTGCTCTAGTGAACGGATACGAGCCTTGGCTTCTCGACTAGTCACGTGCGTGATTTTTGAACCAGAAATGACACGTCTGAAGCGACAACATTCTATCACGAAAACGGACCTTCTCGTATCGGTGAACACGTCGCCTAGGATGCTCATTCAGTCTTCGCATACCTTGAGTCGAGCCAATACACCCTTCTTCTCTAAAGCCTTCGTCACGAGAGTTTTTAACTCTCCCATCTCCTTGTTGTACTCATCTAGCGGAGTCGGGTGATTCTGAAGCGTCGCCATCCCCACGCGTATTTAACCTAGTGCTGGAAGTTGAATGAGCTTGTCACGAGTAGGCGAATTTCCTAGTGAAAGTTAATCCTTCAGAATACGCGTACCCAGTCTGCGCTGGGATTGTAGCTTCAGAATACGGCAAGTGCAAGTGAAGCCAGTAACTTGAAGACCTAATTTACGGTCACAGGTACTCAATAGGCGAGGAATACTAAAGCAAATAGCAGACCAAACAACCTCGTTCTCTCGAGACTGCTGAAAGGACTAGGAAACGAAGAAGTAAAGTCGGTGATCGATGGAATGCGGAACGAGAAGCGGAGACAGCAAGGTTTCAAGTGATTGTACCAGATGCTTGCCTACGCGTGTGTTGATTTTTCAACTCAGCTACCACGGTTCTGTGGTTTGCGTTACGTTCTAGATCGGTCATTTGTTAGTACCGCTGAATACCGACCCAGAAACCTGGTGAACCGTACTGGCGATCGGCATACAACCAGGTTTCTGTTCTGTTTGCTTCAGCTGACACCCAGCACACAGATGTGTGGGGTGAGGTGAGGTGCTTGCTTTGCATTGCTTGTCCCCGACAGAGACGGAGCACAACGGTCTGAGGTGCCAGAACTGCCGATGAAGCGACATAAGCGAAATGAAACGAACTGCAAACCAGGCTGGCGAAATAGAATCAGATCGCCAGCCTGGCATGTGTGACAGACTGTGTGCAGTCTTTTGGAACCGCGCAAGTGAAGTTGGAGCCTTTCGGGTTGTCCTCGGTGGTCCCGATACAGGGAGGGGATTGCTTGGAGGGAAAACCCGCAGCTCGCTCAACCGCTCATGGCCCTTCTGGGTTGGGTTATGAGAAATTCCTTAGTGGAATTTGACGACCGGATGTACCACCAAGTGCAGGGGACCGCGATGGGAACTCCTGTCGCCGTTTGCTTCGCCATCCTGTTCATGAGTCGTCTCGATGAGCTGCTGAAGGAGAGATGGCCCGGGGTGTCACCTTGTTACCACGTCCGATATATTGACGATGGCCTTATCATTTGGCCAGGCGCGCAGTCTGTTTTGAGACGTCTCAAAACACGGTCCCGATACAGGGAGGGGATTGCTTGGAGGGAAAACCGTCTGACAGCCTTGAACCAAAACCCGTCGATGAGAATTTCAATACTGGATATGGATATTGGCAAAGAAACTTCTGTAGGGCCAAGTCTTTCATATGCTTGAGAAAACGTTTGCAGTATATTACTAAACTTCCTGCTACATAACGAAAAAAACATGAACTACCAGCAACCTTTCAAAACGCGGCGTGAATAGACATGTACATACTATTGGCATGCGGTTTCATGTCCGCAGGAGGGGAATGATCGGGCGATGGCAAATCCAACGGCGGGGGAATGGACAATGGAGGCAGTCCCCTCTTACGAGCCCACTGCTCCCGAATCAGCCTCGCAGCCTTACTCACAGGAGCACCCGTCTCCCTCAACTCCCCCAAACCCAGCAGCAACCCCCCTAAACTGCCATCCGAATCTCCAACACTCACACTCCCTTCATCCCGGCCTCTCTTATTCGACCGCCCAGACATGCTGAATGAAGAGTTGGCAGATCGTACGCGCGGTGAGGTGCAAACGTTAGAAATGCCCTCCGTTCCGAGGCTTGAGATTGCAGCGGCTGCTTCTCGAGCCGCTGCCGACGCTGGGAAGAGGGGTAGCTCTGTGATGGCTGCTGCAGCATTGAGACAAGAGTCCGCATGAACCGGCAGTGGAAAATCAAGAGTGAAATCTGCGGCGCGTTGAGCACCGGCTGGCGAGGAATCCGGTGCGACCGAAGGTCCGGCAGCCCATGTGAAGTCGCTTGCAGAAGCAGCCGCCGAGCCTGACGCCGAGCTTGAACCAGGTCCGAAGGCAGATGCCGAGGCTGAGAAAGAAGCGGAGGCGTGAACGGGGGCGAGGGCGAGGGAGAGGGTGGATGGGGAGCGGGCGAAGCATGTGGGGTGGGGAGGGTAGGTGGTGACTGGGGAAGGTGTTACTGGGGAAGATGCTACTGGAGCAGGCGCAGCTGCTGCCGGAGTGGGAGGAGCCATAGCACCCATACCACCTGCACTGCCCACATAGGCCATATCATCCATAACAGCAGTCTCAAACCCAGGGCTTGCAGCAGGGATGGCAGCGGCAGCGGCAAAAGCAGGGTGTGAGGGAGGATGAGGAGCATGCGCGGCGGCGTGTGTGGCGGGGGGTTGAAGATGAAGCGGGGAGGGGAGGGAGGGAGGGGGGAGAGCCGCATAGTCGGATAGAGGAGGAGCTGGTGGGGAAGAGGTCATGGGAGGATAGTAGGGAGGCTGCTGCTGCTGCTGCCATTGCTGCTGGTCCTGCTGCTGCAGCTCCTGGTGCCATTGCTGTTGGTACTGCGGCGGTGCCTGGTACTGCCGTTGCTCCTCCAGTGGAAGTGCTGATGCGGGAAGCGCTGATACTGGCTGTGCTGCTGCTGCCTGCGCTGGTGTTTGTTCCCTTGATGCTGGCTCCCCATTGGACGGCTCCCACATGGCACACGCAACAGGATGGTCCAGTGAGAACCCGCCATCTGGCACGTGAACAGTATCCGGGACGGCACTCGGTTCTAGAGACTGGGTGGTCCCTGTGAACAAGAAAGGCTGCTGGAAAGGCGGCTGGAAGGCCTGTTGCTGCTCTTCTCCCTCTCGCGCGTTTCGTCCTTCCCCCACGCCCTCCTCTTCCCCATGTTCCAGCTTTACCTGCGCCATCCGCGCAATCGCGACCCCGCGTTTCCCCCCACCCCCCCCCCGCGCCGGCCCCCCCCTCCCCTTGTCCCCCGCCCGCCACCTCCACCACATCTCGCCCAGGAAGCTTCGTCAGAAGTTCCTGCTTGAACTTCTCTACGGTCCCCTTTATCATCTCGGTACAGTCACCCCCGTTTACAGTCACATTCTGGTCGGAGGATAGAAGCTTTGTGACCATATCGAGCAGCGCCGTTGCTTCCGCTTCAACTGGTGACGTGGCATTGGCGTCCGGCGCGCGTTCAACGCCAAATGTCTCCGCCTCATTTGAGGGTGAAGCCAGCCCCGCGCCGCGCGACGCGCAACCGTCCGCTCCGCTCCCCTTAAGCGGGCGCAATTCGGGAGAACGCGCACGCTCAGGTTCCCGCGGGCTGCCCGCTTGCGAGCCATCCACCTGCCCGTTCGCTTCCGCCTGTCCCTGACCCCGCGCCAACGTTGCGCCTGCCCCTTGCGCCGCCGTTTCCCCCGCCCGCTCCCCCTTCTTCACGGCTTGGCGCCGCTCACCGCGCTTCTCCGTGCCTGCACCCGCCGCCTTTGCGCCGTCCGCCCTGCGCCCGCCTTGGAGCGCCCACAGCTCCGCCATGATCGCGGGGAACGTCGTCTCCCCCTCGAACAGCGCAACAACCGGAGATTCGCCGCCTTTTGCGCTACCGGCGTCGCTGGAAGGGAGACCGGCGTAGAAACTTGACGGCGCTGGCAGTTCCGCAGCAGAAAACGGCGCATCAGCCGGGCGAATCGAAAGAGCCGTTACTCTCGGCGACTGTGCGCCGAGCGCGGAATTCCTCTTCGCCGCGCCGCCCGCGGAGCGTCTTTGCGCGGGAGGCGGGCGCGGGCTCGCGGGGACCCTGGACTGACTGCGCTGCTCGTTTTGCGGCTTCGCGGGCTTCTCGTCGGGTTTTGCCGGTCGTGGCGACGGCTCAGCGCCGCCAGCCGACGAAAACCGTTTCTCTGACGGATTCCGACGACTTTCGTTAACCGCAGCGAGATCTGCGCCCGGCCCGAAGAGAGCAGTCAGCAGCGCGTTCGCCTCCTCAAGTGCGCGCATCTCCTGCGCCGACGGCGCGGGCATGGCGGAACGTCCGGCCTGCGCCGCCGCCTTTCCGCGTGCTGGAAGCACGCCGGCGTGAGCACCGCCGCGGGGAATCGGGGGAGTATTTGGGGAAGCGGGCGGCGAGTGCTTGGCGGAAGGCGGAAAATCGTGCCCCTTGGCAGGAGCGGTTTTCGCCCCAAGTGCGTGCGGAGGCTGCGCGGGTGACGCGGAAGCCGCGGAAGCGGCGCAGCCTGAAGGGCTGGTGAGCGGGAAAGCGGTTGCCGGCCATTTACGCTCAGTCTTGGGGGACGCCGCTTCAAAAGGCGGCCATTGCTCCGTCTTGACCTGCGCTGCCTTGCGCAAGGCGTCCGCCCATCCTCCACCCAACGCGGCCATACTGGGTCGGTAACAGTAGATTAGAGTAAATAGCAAGAAATAAAAATTATATGACCAGCACAGGTTTCCGTACTCAAGTCCGAAGCTAGGTTAGTGGTGGTATCGTGCGCTTGAGCAACATGCGTCAAGAAAGCTTAGGAGACGCAAGCTTCTGGGAACACGCAGACGACTGTTCCGGCGTTCCACCTTTGAGTGCGTATGAGAGGAGATAACTAGACAACGAAAACTTGGGACTGCACGTCTGCCGCAAGGGCCGCTGCTTGTCTGTCTCTTGAACTTCACTTGTCTCACCGGTCGGCAATCGGCAACTGTTCCGCTTCATGCGATGAGGGGACTGTGCATATGAGGGGGGGGGAGTCGGGGCTATGTTGCTCCAGCAGGCCAGGTGCTGTGTTAGTGGCGCAGATGAAGTAGGCGCGGGGAAATGAAGCAGAAAAAAAAACCCAACCGAGCCGACGCGGAAAAGGCTTGGGGGAGGGTGACGTGACGAGAAATCAGGCACACAAATGTTGAGCGGGAGGGGAGCGGATCAGGTGGCGGGCTGGCGTGATGGTGTTAAAAACTGCCCGTTGCTCTGAAACGAGACCCGTGCTTATTGTTTATTCCGAACCTACATAGACCCGTGCTTAGTGGAAGACGAAACACAACCGCCACCTAGCATTGTTGGTGTGACTCAGCGAGGATACAAGGTGAGCCTGATTTTACACAATATTCATTCTTAGGATTTGGCTCTCTGTATATACAATGAAAAACGTTGACTCCATGTTCGATCTACTGCCCGGAATCAAAAGTTCAAGCAAACCAGGGATGCGACGCGTTGCCTGTCATACCTAGGTGATAGGAAACGGGCTAGCCGCCGCATGTATCGGCTCTTCAAGATTCACCTGACAACACAGCAACAGACCTCTGGGCCAGGGCTGTCGATTGCTCTGGGGCCAGAACTTGGAAGGCTGAGCTGCCCCGAAATTTGCCCTTAAATTTACGTTTTGGGGCCAAACTCAACACTTGAAATCAGGGCTACAAAGTGTCATGCACTTTTGCTAGACAAGAGATCACCCTGGATTTGCACTGCCCATCCGAATTGATTCTTCACGCCCCTGGCTAAATCACTGAATGAAACCTCTTAGCGGAAAGACGCCTAACCCACTCAAAATTGTAAGGGTGAGGTACTAGGACCTCTCCAGTACTTGTGTGTGTAACCTCACCCGGATCTAGCACTAAGTATTCACTGGCCGCCCGTTGCATTCCCACTTCCTTGTTGCGACCTAAGGCAGAATCGTGGTTCTGTTCGCGGATAGAAAACTAAAGGACTGACATTCCAAGCGGAAACCTACGGTTTGTACTAGAATCACTTAAGGTTCTGACTTCAAAAAAACTAGTTCAGGTCCTGACCTCGAAAGTTCACAGAGCATTCGAAACTGGCTCTGGGAAGAGTTATACTGCACCTGGAACTGGGATGACGGGAAATGGGGCGGGTGGGGAGAGGGGAGGGAGGTACGGCGAGGAATCAGTTCGAAGGGGAAAGGACTAGCCCCAAGACTCATACTTGAAATCCGGGTTAGCCCCGAGCACAGCACTTTAGGCAGACGGGCTGACCTGAAACCCAACCCTTAAATCCGGGGACCTAGGCCGAAATCAACCCTTAATGTTCAGGGCATTAAAGCTTCAGTATACATTTGTCAGTGAGGTTCTGGGTTTTGTAGTGTGCCTCACAGTTTTGGGGCAACTTTTCAAGTTCCTAAGGATTTTGAACCCCTCCTTTCAAATGTATACCGGAGCTTTAAGGGCATTTGCCCTTGTAGCGACAGCCCTGCTCTGGGCCCTGACTCCTGAGACATAAGGCACCCGACATGAAGCTTGTACCTGAATCTCTTCGCTACAGAAATTCTCTGGCAGCAAAGAACTAAATATTCATATATAAACATACTTCTAGAGGGTTGATCTAGAAGAGAAGAGCTAACCCATAAAACACAAATTGTTGCCATCCACAAGCGCTACAACTTGTAGCAAAAAATGGGTCCTACGATAGGGATTTTCAGGATTGAGCGCAGTGACAGAATCTTTATTATTGGAGCATGATATTGGCCGGGTGGATGTAAATATAATACAATTACTAAAAATCTCAGAATAGCACGTAGCGGAATGAATGATCAGCAAAGGGTTGGGTTACAAATAGACAACCCTAAAAGGGTTGCACCCACTAGAGAGTACCTCACTATAGCCTAACAAGCAATTATATTATTTGACACACCCCCATAGGCTAAGTGAGGGGCAACAAAACGAGCAAGACAGACAAACGGTCACAAGACCAATCAAGGCAAGCAACAAAAAGACAAACAACTCAGGGTGGTACGACTAGCCAGCCTCTGAGACATACGGCCACAAGGCCAGTTCAAGTGTTCATATATGTGTATGTAAATAAGAATTCAAGCAGAGCAATAAACAAGAGACAAGCCTACAACAAACGGGGTATCTGTCTGGACAAGGCCAAGCTGTGAACATAACATGTGGTAATCACCAGGCGGGAGAGCCTTGGTAAAGATGTCTGCAGTGTTGGTCGCTAAGGCCACAAAGTCCAAGTGCGCGTAGCCGGGCCGCTGCAGCTCTCGCAGCAGGAAGTACCATAGATCGATGTGCTTTACTCTGCCCTCCAGTTGAGGCTCTCGACACAGGAGAATCGTGGCCTTGTTGTCAGCAAACAAGGTCGGTGCAGAGCTAGGCCGCTCACCTAAGTCAGTGAGCAAGAAGCCCAGCCAGCGGGGCTCCTAAGTAGCCAAGGCACCGGCGTAGATCTCGGCCTCGGCGCTGGACTGCGCCACAGAGGACAGCCGGGTAGACCTCCACGACACAGCTCCAGAGCCAAAGCTGAAACAATACCCCTGGGACGACCTGTCGGTCTCCAAGTGTCCAGTAAGTCGCACTGCCTGCGCCCCTCCAAGCACAAGCCCCATCCTTGGTGTAGTTGCCAGGTACTTCGCCCCCCTCGCAGCAGCTGTCCAGTGCACAGGACGGTGTCTCCCAATCGCAACAAAAGCGAGCGAGGACACTGTGAGGGTAAGCGAGGTCCGGACGAGTACATGTCATCAGGTACATGAGGCAACCCACAAGCTCTGCATAGGGACCACTATGCTCAAAAGACTCGTCGAAAAGTGGAGCGGTGAGACTGTGGTCAACAGCGAGAGGAGTGGGCTGTATGGTGGAAAATTGAAGCTCAAACCGCGGAAAGCCCTGCTCCACCATGTGTGACTGAGTCAGAGTGATGATGTGATCTGCAAGCCAAGGTAGTGGCGCAGTTCACCAATGTCAGTGCACGTGTGTCTCTTCTGCAGCTCCTACTTCACGAAAGCCAGAGCAACCCTGTCTGCTGTATCGAAGACCAAGTCGTCGACGTAGACGAGAACGAAGAAAGGAGTGGAGCTAGAGCGATCGAACAGCGACGGGTCGGCAGACGAAGGACTGAACCCGAGGTCAGCAAGAGTGGAGCGAAGAGTGTCGTGCCACTCACGAGGCGCCTGGCGGAGACCGTAGACTCGTCGTCTCAGGCTCCACTGGGTCCCAGGCGGGAAACTGCCAGTGAAGCCGGGAGGACCGCGCAGCCAGATCTTTTTGTGCAGGCTGCCCTGTAAGAAGGCAGAGTGGAGAACTCTAGTGAGTGAAGCTCGTAGTCTCGCTGTGCTGCGACGTGTAGTAGCACCCGAAGAGTGGTCATCTTTGGGGTGGGAGAGAAGGTCTGAAATAATTTTACTCCCTCATTTTGACTGAAGCCTCTCGCCACGTATCGCACCTTGAAGACAGGTGGCGATCCAGGCGGCCGCTTCACCTTGAATATCCACATGCCATCGACTATGTTCGCCCTGGGAGGGGAAACTGCGTAAACGTACGTGCCAGTGGATCTCCAAGACGCCATCTCTGCGTCCATGGCGGATTTAGGTCAAACTGTTAACAAGAGAAAGGAATGTGAGGGGTATATGCAAACTTGTACCCTTTATGGTGCAACCCTAAGCAGCCTATAAAGTGCGCATACAAAAGTATAAGTGTGATTTCAAATACCTCCTAGGCTAGGTAAAGGGCAGTGCATAGGAGAGGAGAAACAATTCAGAGCGGCTTACTGGTCCAGCCTATAGGGAAAGAGTGTCAGAACTATGCATATATGCTATAGGCTGTAGTGGGGCACTCTATATGGGGTACAGCCCAAATTAGGTTTTGCCTATACAAACCTTGTACCTCTCTCTTTCTAGTCATTCTTTCCTTCTCATTTCTGACATGGTTTCAGAGCAGGTTCCCTAGTGGGATCGTTTTTTTTAGGGCCCACCACGGTATTTTTTTTTTCCTACCCTGCCCGAAGCGCGCCTCGCGCCTGCCTCACCTGCGCCGTTGAGCGCCCTGCCCTACTGCCGCCCGTCGCAGCCCTGCCTTCCCGGCCCGTCGCAGCCCTGCCCTAACGGCCCGTCGCGGCCCTGCCCTTGCCGCCCGTCGCGGCCCTTCTCGGTCGCGGCCTGACCTCGCCGCCCGTCGCGGCCTGACATAGCCGCCCGTCGCGGCCCTGCCCTGCCGCTCCAGCTACGGCCCTGACCTCGCCGCCCGTCGCGGCCCTGCCCTGCCGCCACCCGTCGCGGCCCTGCCCTTAGCCGCTTGTCGCGGCCCTGCTCTACCGCCGCCCCGTCGTGGCCCTGCCCTGCTGCCGCCCATTTGCGGCCCTGCCCTGCAGCCGCCTTGTAGCGGCCCTGCCCTGGTGCCGCCCCGTCGCGGCCCTGCTCTGCCACCGCCTCGTCGCGGCCCTGCCATACCGCCGCCCCAGTCGCGGCCCTGACCTACCCCGCCAGCTGCGGCCTTGCCCTGCACCCGCCCCTGGTAAGCGCCCGCCTACCTGCCGCGCCGCGCCGCCCAGCCGAGCCGCGCCGCCCTGCCGAGCCGCGCCGCCCTGCCGAGCCGCGCCGCCCTGCCGAGCCGCGCCGCCCTGCCCTAATGAGCCGCGCTGCCCTGCCCGCGCTGCCCCGGCT